CATACAAAATCACCATACAAAAATCAGTAATACTTTTGTATGCTAACAGTGGACAATCTGAAATAGAAACCAAGAAAGTAATCTCAGTTACAATAGCTACAAATAAAACAAAATACCTAGGAATAAATTTAACCAAGGACATGAAAGATCTCAACAACGAAAACTATAAAATACTGATGAAAGAAATTGAAAAGGGCACAGCTCCTTGTATATATTAACTTATTTAATTCTCATGATAATTTTATGAAGTAGGCACTATTTTACAAATGGGGAAACTGAGCTTCAGTAATTTAGTTACGATTATACAATTAGTGAGGTGGATCATGATTTGAACTCAAGGCAGTGTGGATTTAGTTTTACTTGCCCCTTGTCCCATCAGTGGGGTCCAATAAAAAAGAAAACTACGCAGTTGTTTAGATTAAAAAAATAAGAATGTTGTTTGTTAATGGAATGATCTCTAAAATAGATTGCTAAGTGAGAAAAAAAAGCAAGATACAGACACTGTTTATAGTGTGCCACCGTTTGTATAAAATGGCGGAAAGAGATGTCCATGTTTACATCATTATAAATAAAATATTTTCAGAGGGAAATGAAAACTATGAACGCTGTCGCCTCCTGAGCAGTTAACTGGGCAGCTCGGGCATAAATTTTACCTTCTGCTCTTTTTTTAATCTTTTGAACTTTGAATGATGTGAATAAATTGCCTATTCAAAAGTAAAATTCTACTTTAAAAGAGTATATATTATATACCAAAGTATAAAATAAATATCCATGGGTCTAAATTGATATCTAGAATTGATCGAAAGAATACATAAAAAGTGAGGGAAACAAGTAAATATCCCACTTAGAAGAATGTCAGATAATTTATGTATATATTCCACCTTCAAGGAAAGGGAGCATAACTGTCCACTTCTTAAGGACGGTTTGCTCATAGTGACTTACTTCTATAGAGTGTGTTATGGACAGTGGGGGAAAAGGGTAGCTTTTTAGTGGAGTAACCTGACAAACGCTGCCTCAGCCAGTATCAGCAGTGGTTTCATGTTGATAGTAGGTACTTGATAGGATGTGATGAGAATGGTGCTGACCTCTGTGGTCGGCCTCCCCAAAACCTATTACCCCAATCTAATTATGAGAAAACCATCATACAGAGTCCAGTAGTGAGACATTCCGCAAAGTACCTGACCAGATGGTATACAAATGTCTAGTTTAAATACATATTTTTAATACTCCCTATAGTTTTGTTACTTGCTTTTTAGTCTCTTAATACCACTTCATTTTGGTATTATTCATTAGGTCATGCATTTGTTAAGAAGGTTATTTTATGTTTATTTTCTCCAAGCCATACATTTATTGTTTTAATGTTGTCTTCCTTCTCTCACTGGTGTTTTTATTATTCAGTTCTTCGGTTACCATTATTCAGGACTTATGGTTTGGTTAAAATAGTATTAATGATCCAGATGATTTACCAAAAGTGATTTCTGCAGAGAAGTGTTCCTTGCTTGTCTGTTTCCATTTACTTCCTATATAATTTAGACTCTGATGCCTTTTTTCTGAATAGCTTTAGCCTTTCTTTAGGATTTTGCTCTGGTCTCTTCCTGTTCCAGTTCCTCTACACAGCGCTGTTAGCATTAGCTTTTTAAAATACAGATTTGATCATGTTCCTGCCTGGCTCTGGGACCTCATGGCACTCTCTCTTAGAATCAGAATAACATGAACCTCTAGCATTTGTGGATCACAGTGCTGAGGGTTTATAGCCATCAAGTAATTTAATTTTGACAAGAACCCTAGAAAGCTGGCATTATCTCCATTTTATAAATAATAAACTGATGTAGAGAGGTTAAGCAACTTATCTAAGATGCTTAGTTAGTTAGTGAGAAAGCTTGAGCCAGCTGTGTTACCTCAGTTTCTCTGTTAGCAGGACCTCACTGGTTCCGTGGCCTTTTGCAACCTCTTTTCTACCCAACTTTCCTCTCCTCTTCAGTCACAGGCTCTGCTTACCTTCTTTCACTGACCTTGTAATTGCACATCAGTGGTACTTTCGCTTTCAGCCTACGGAAACCTTGCTTCTCATTTTTATATTTCTGCTCAGATATTATAGTAGACCCCTTTACAACACCCTCCCAGTTAACTTTTATTATTCCGTCTTATTCTAGAATTTTGTTTCTGTTTCATTTTTGTCATTTACTTTGTATTATATAATATTTGTGTTTGTTTCCATCTTCCTACTAGTTTGTAAGTTCTTGGAAGATACGAAATGTTTTATCTTTACAAACTGTGGAGCCAATATCTTGCACTTAGCAGACCTACAAGAAATATGACTTTGTGAAATCAATTTTATTCATACAAATATTTTATTAGAGATTTTATTTTTATAAGGATGGAATGTGGGCTGGGCACAGTGGTTCATACCAACAATCTCAGTGCTTTGGGAGGCCAAGGCAGGAGGATTGCTTGAGACCAGGAAGTCAAGACTGCAGTGAGCTATGGTGCCGACAGAGTGAGACTATGCCCTTAAAAAAAATTTTTTTTAAAAAAGGATAGAAGCCGGGCTCGGTGGCTCAGCCTGTAATCCTACGCCTTTGGAAGGCTGAGGTGAGTGGATTGCCTGAGCCCATGGGTTCGATACCCGCCTGGGCAACTTGGCAAGACCTCATCTCTACAATAAATCGAAAATTAGCCGGGCATGGTAGCACGCGCCTGTAGTTCCAGCTACTTGGAAGGCTGAGGCGGAAGGATCGCCAGAGCCCAGCAGGTCGAGGCTGCGGTGGCTGGGAGTGGCCACTGGACTCCAGTCTGGGTGACAGAGTGAGACTCCAACTCAAAAAAAAAAAAGAAAGGATAGAATATGGAGTCCTTTTTTTATTAGTTCTTAAGAATTGTAATTAAATTATGAGAATTTTTTTTCTCTGATTTAATAATAATTTGATGAATCTTAGTAAAATTTTAATTTTGAAATTTGAAAATTAAATAAATTTTTGATTCTTTAATTTTACTTTTATCTTTTTAATTGAGAAGTCTTATACTGTTAGATATATGATAAGGCATATTATGACATTGTATAAATACTATTGATGACTCAGATTGAAGGGAGAATTAGTATTATAAAAATTCTAAATATTTTTGTGCTTTTCCATTATTTTACTCATGTTGAAAAATACAATAGACTCTTCACTTCCTAAGTAATCACTGTTTTTAATTTTTTAAAACTCTAACCTGAAAAAAAGAGATTTGAGGGGTGTGTGTGTGTGTGTGTGTGTGTGTGTGTGTGTGTGTGTGTGTAGGGTTTTTCAAATGGGAAAATTAAGGTCAAAAAATGAGATAAAGTTAGGTTGGTATTTGCACCTTAAACATATGCCGTAAGATCCTAGACTGATGCTAAAATTGTGCTGCACATTTGGTTGTGCTTTTTCATTGGACAAAACAATCAGATATGGATAGTTTACACGAGCAAATTGTTCATGTTATACAGTTAACCAAAGAAATTTCTTTTACGGGTCTTCACCAAGAAGGGCCACCATATGAAGTAGACAAGCAGTATCTTCAGCAGCACTTCTGGGAGATACCCGTTTACGGTTTAGTGTGACTGATTCATATCAGGCCATTTGATGCAGACAAGCAACATACTATATAGATTATTAAAGGATAGTCTTAAGAAACCAAAATAAGCCCATGGGCATTTACAATTCTGGGATCTGCTGAAGAATTTGAAAATATCTAGAGCAGCGTGCCCTAAGACCAGGTAGCTTTGAAGATGGTCCCATTTATTAAAAATGGATTTTAAAATCAAACATAGTATGTAAGGCATACTCTCTTAAATAACTTCAAAGTGTTAACTATGAAAAAAAATTTTTTTTTTTTTTTTTGAGTTGGAGTCTCACTCTGTCGCCCAGACTGGAGTGCAGTGGCCGCTCCCGGCCACCACGGCCTCGCCCTGCTGGGCTCCAGCGATCCTTCCGCCTCAGCCTTCCAAGTAGCTGGAACTACAGGCGTGCACTACCACGCCCGGCTGATTTTTGATTTATTGTAGAGATAAGGTCTCGCCAAGTTGCCCGGGGGGTCTCGAGCCCGCGGGCTCAGGCAATCCACTCACCTCAGCCTCCCAAAGGCGCGGGATTACAGGCTGAGCCACCGAGCCCGGCTACTATGAAAAATTTTAAAACACACACTTTCATATTTTAGTCCCTGCTGTGCTAATCCCCAGAATGCTCAGCACTATAGTCACAAAGTGCAGAAGGCTTGAAATAAATGTACGTAGGGCGCAATGTGAACAAATCTGCAAGTGTCCTGCACTGGCTTAGAAAAAAGCAAGTTACTGTAATGAGTTGTGTATTTGTAGTTATAGTGAGTAGACTTAAAGAAGATATTAGATAGATGCAATAGGGGAATTTGGCAAAGATGTTGCAGTTAGTACTCGTGACTGTAGCTTGAAAATTATGAGTCTCCTACAAGCACTGTCAGTAGAACTTACCGGGATGGTGGCAGTGTTCCGTGAGTGCTGTCCTACGTAGTAGTCAGTGACCCAGATGGCAGCTGAGCACTTGTCATGTGGCTAGAGTGACTGGGGAGCTAAACTTTTAATTTTGTATCATTTTAATTATTTCAGATTCAAATAACTGCTTGTGACTAGTAGCTAACCATATGTTGGACAGTTCAGTTCTAGAGAAAGGGATGAGACTGCTTATCTTTCAGGCTGTCCAAGAATAGAGTAGCAGGAAGTTCAAGATTTTATTCCATCTGCAACTGAATATAGAAATCTTGTATTTTCAAGAGACATATGTTTTAAGATAATCAGTGATTATTTATTTGTAAGTTGACTTTTCTGTTTTTGAGCTTTAAAATTAACCAGGATGCTTGAGTATATGGTTCACCTTTTAGATATTAATAGAGTTATTAGCAAATAGTATTAGGCTAAGACATTACATTTAAAATTCTTTCATCAAGTTGAGACATTTATTAATAAAAGTAGAAAGCTCTACTGACATGGAACTATTTTCCTGCAGTTTCCAGAGTGTGGATTCTTTGGCATGTATGATAAAATACTTCTCTTTCGCCATGACATGAACTCAGAAAATATTTTGCAGCTGATTACCTCAGCAGATGAAATACGTGAAGGAGACCTAGTAGAAGTTGTTCTTTCAGGTAAGTAAATAGGTTTTTTTATTAATTGTGTAGCCTCTTTTTTTCAAAGGGCCTCATTTTCTGTACTCAATGCTGTGTTCAGTTGTACTTTGTACTATTGTTACTAACTTCTTTCATGTATAATAATGGTTACATATGATTTCATTTTCAGGAAGGCCATATCACAGATAAGAAAGGAAAATAAATTGTGGATTACTTGAATGTTACTAAGCTGTGGGAAGTTGTCATTTGGACTGAAAAAAATACACGCTCCTCTAAGTTGAAAAAATAGAGCAATTATATTGAAATTCTGTTTACTCCCTTTCCCCCATTTCTGTCAAGAGCATAAGGGAAGAGAATTGGGATTCAGAAAAGAGAATCAGGAAAAAAGAGAAGCATTGGCGATATGGAAAAGGAAGTTGCAGTGCTGGCTGTTTCTAAGGCTTAATAAAACGCTTCTTCCTTTTGGCTCTCAGTGGGCTTCTTCTACCTCTCTTTTTTTCCTGTCCTTGCTGTACCCTGTTCCTTAGCTCCCACTATTTTCTGTCCCATCCAACAGCAGGGTGTGGGCAGGGTTGGTAGTGAGGAGTGAAAGGAAGAGAGGGCGCCATCATGGTGCACACAGGCGGTCGCAGTACTTCTTGTTTGGCAAGAAAGGAGGGCTAATCGAAGAAAGGAAGCAAGCTGGCCGAGCAAGGCCCAGAGTCCTGTAACCACTTTCCCCCTTCCCAAACTCACTCTGAGCAGTTCTTGAAGTCCTCTCTGACCATCACCTTTCCTTCTTAGTCCTCAGTCCTCCTTTTATCTTTCTGATTCTTTCCTTCATCCAGGCCCCCCAACATTGATCATCCATCTCCACCCCAACCCCAAGCCATCTGTGTACTTCCCAGTCCTTGTCTTCCCCTTCTCCTGAGGGGTGTCACTCCCTCTCTTCCCTGGAGGTCATGCTCACATCCATTCCTTCTCTACTGTGGATCCTCCGTCAGGTCACAGGGACATCCACTGATGACTTGCAGGTTGAGGTGAGAGGAAGGTCTTGTGATACTCACTGAGGAGAGGAGTCTCTTTCTCATTAGGACTATGGAGAGCACACAGGGTGTGTCCTGGGTCCTAAGTGAGGACTCGAATGCCTTTTTCCCCAGAAAAATTGCTATAAATTGAGGTTAAGATCCACAGTATTTTCTATTTTTGTGTTCTATTTCCCACTGTACTATAAGCTAAATAATTTTTCCCTGGCGAAAATAGACCTAATATCTATGTCCAGTCTTGTCACTATGAGAAAATGCTTTTTGGAGTTCCAGATACTTAAGCTGCAGACCTAATTCTGGAACTCAAACTATTTGAAGCAAATGAACTTTCTAAACTAGAGTTTGAAAATCACAATATTAAATGCCTTTGTTTTTATGGTCAGATGAAACTTTCAGAGAATAAAATGATTCTGTGTACCTTGCCATAAATGAACACGTGAGCAATCCTAATCTCATCGCAATTACAAATGTAAGGTTTATTTTATTACTTTTCTTTTTTAAAAGCTTTGGCCACAGTAGAAGACTTCCAGATTCGTCCACATACTCTCTATGTACATTCTTACAAAGCTCCTACTTTTTGTGATTATTGTGGTGAGATGCTCTGGGGATTGGTACGTCAGGGACTGAAATGTGAAGGTATGTGTTCTAAAATTGTTGTGGTCATTTGAAATAGGATTCCATATTTGCATTCTTTTTTTAAATCAGTGATAAAACTTTAGTTGGTGCCTAGGTAGTAACCAGGATTTAGACTTGGAAAGATCAGGACTCTGGTCCTACCTTTGCCACCTGCTCATTCATATACTTGGGCAACTTACTAAACCTCGTTAAGGATCAGTTTTTCTGTAAAATGTATTCTCCCCCACTAGTTTTGTGAAGAATAAATGGTTAAATAAGGTAATGTAAGTATAATATTTGGTACATGGTAGTGACTGAGTGAATACTAATGTCCTTTTAGTTATCTTTTGAAAAAGTTAAGACTCTTACATACAACAACAAAATTGTTGAAGTTGTTTAGAATTAGAATTGCTAGGGAATGGGACACAGGTATACATTTCTGATTAAGAAACAGTCCTCTAAGGTAGAGGGTTACTAAACTTTCTGTAAAGGGTCAACGAGTAAATATTTTAGGTTTTGCTGGCCACATGGGCTCGATTGCAATTAATTCTGTTGTTCTAGTCATAAACAATATGTAAACAAATGGACATGACTGTGTTCCATTAACACTTTATTTAGGAACACTAAATTGAGTTTCATCTAATTTTCATGTCATGGAAGGCATTTGGAACATAGGCCACTGTTTGCTAAGCAGTGCTCCAGCTGTACCACATATAGTAAAACGTACTTTACTGGGTCCCGTTCTAACTCAGCAGATCTGGGCAGGGCTCAGTAATGTGCCTGTCTAACAAATTCCCAGATAGCCTTAGGGCCCATACTTTAAGAACCACTGCTCTAGCTCACTTAACCTTTCTACATATTGCCTAGTCCTGAATTCGCTAGCTTTAATTAGCCTCTCCTCAGGGTTTTTAATTAGGGTAGGTATTTCTAACACAGAATATAAATTAAATGAAAGAAGCATTTGTTTTTATGTATCATACCTAAATAGTAAATTTTTTAAATCTTATTTTTTACCTTTTAAAATACATTTAGGCTGTGGATTAAATTATCATAAGCGATGTGCCTTCAAGATTCCAAATAACTGTAGTGGAGTAAGAAAGAGACGTCTGTCAAATGTATCCTTACCAGGACCTGGCCTCTCGGTTCCAAGACCCCTACAACCTGAATATGTAGCTCTTCTCAATGAAGAGGTATGAATTCTAAGGTTATAGAAGGACATTTTACTAGTTCTTCCCTCTGTTTCTACAGGGTATATGACATCATCCTAGAACATTTTTATGCTAAAGATATAGTAATAGTAATGTTTCTGTACTTAAGAAACATAAAATGTAATGATGGAAACAGGTTTACTAGTAGTAATGAATTGCATTTTGCACACCTCAGGATTGTGTTATTTATCACTTGGACCACTGCAATAGTCTCCTAGCCATATCCCGACTCCAGGTCACATACTTCACCTCATCTTATACACAACAGCCATGTCAAGTTTTCTATTATACAGCTCTGGTATATAATATTACTCCCCTTTATATATTCCATACATAGGAATATATACCTTTATATACAAGGGGAGACCTGAAAACCCAGAATTATCTTTTGGAGGAAGGACCCCTTGTAGTATAGGTTCCTCCTGCTAGGTATGTGTTCCAGGAACCCAGTGGCACCAGTGTACCAGCTCACATTGTTGTGCAAGGCTGCATTTGGCTTCAGGGAAGTTTTTTTTTTGGAGATTCTTTTAGTGTGTTTGCCCATTTCATGATGGGCGATTTACTTGCTCACCTGTCAACACTTCATGGAGTGTTCAGCAGTTTTTGACTGAAAATGGCATGGTATGACACCTGTGCCCCAACCTCCCTATTTACTCAGTCTCACCCAGAGTGACTTTTTTTGTTTCCCTGGATGAAAAAAGTCATGAAAGGGAAACGTTTGCCAGTGGGGAAGAGGTTAAACAAAGAATTGCAGAAACAGTAGTTTATTTTTTATCCTGAAGGTAAACACTCCTTAGGGGAATGTAAGAAGAGCAGAGTGAACTGGTTAGATAGTTCTGAATTGGTTAGAATGTTCAGAGTGTCTTAAAACAAAAAGAACTTGGCAGAGTGGAAGGTCTCCCGAGGTTAACTTTTGCCAGTCTGAGCATGTAGTCTCAAAAAGAAAGAGTAAGAGACGAGCTTGTGGAGGAAAATCAGGAGGAGGGAAGAGTGGGAACAAATGGAGCAGACAGCAGTCAGGGAATAAGAGCAGTCCTGAAGTGAACCACAGTTAGAGAAGAACAAACTCTGAGGCCCACACATGAAGAGCCTCTGATGTGCTCTCTGCTGGGTGCTCTCTGCTGGCTCTCTGCTGGGTGCTTCCCTTTTTCTTGTGCAATCCTCACCATAGTCCTGGGACGTGTGGGCATTATCCTGATTTCATAGATAGGAAAATGAGCAAGAAACACTTCTGAGGAGTCAAAGTATTCAACTTCACGGAATACTAAGATAAGCTTAAAAGTAGGCAAACTGGGAGTAGAAGCCTTTGACTGTGACTCTGAAGTGGTCTTGGTTTATATGTAAGAAGACAGTTTCAAGAGATAGAAGATGAGAAGAAGATAGACTATTCATTGAATGTGCTTAACGTGGGACCACTAAGATGAGAAAAACCAGAACTGAATGCTGGCTGTTGGAAGATGAGACAAGAATTCCTTCCAGTACATTTGGGAAAATTCCTGAGATGCTAGGACAGGACAGAAACAAGCTAGAAAGAAAACTTTGGGTCTAAATGGGCACATAGAAGTGGAGATATTTCACTAATACTCCAAAGCCAGTTAAATATACATAGTTGAAGAATTGCCCTTTTTTAAAATGCTTTTTTATTCCCTTCATTATTATGTATAATTGAAAGTTAGCAATATTGTTATAAGGTTTTTGTGAGCAATTACTTCAAATGTTAGCTTAAACTTAAGCTGTGGAGCAATTACTTCAAATGTTAGCTTAAACTTAAGCTGTGGAGATAATCAGATTACTTTTAGAAAAGAATAAAGAATAAATAACAGTTTAAGATAATCCCACTCTAGTCCCAATGGTCCTGTTTTAAACAACATTTCTAGGTAATTCTATCAACATCCACCTCCCTCTAAATTCTGATTAAGTCAGCCATACCTTTCCTGCCATCCTCACCCAAGAGTGACAAACCACTGTGAGTGATGGGATGGTATCATGCCCAGGTATATTGAGATGGGAAAAAGATCAAGAAACACTGAACCATGATATAGACTACCTAGGTTTGAGTCTTGATTCTGTTACTACCATTTGGTAGGATTAATCGATTTGAGCTTGTTTTTTCATAAGTAACATAAATACCTTCTACTGGATATGACAAATTAGGTAGCTGCTACAGCCACAGTCCCCTGAGTGGTTCCTGGCACACAGGCTCATACTACATCCCTATGACCCCAATCCTAGCAGGACCTGACTGAACGGTAGTCACTAACTGGCCGTGGGCTTATGAAGGTGTCTTTTATGAATCTCCTTACAAGGATACCCTGTGTATTTGATGATGACTGGTTAAATTAGTCTTATGCCTTCTGATGTTTTGAACTTGAGACAAATCCAGAGTGGTAGAAGCAAGAGCAAGAGAGGCAGTGTGTTCAGTTACCACTTAAGTAGGGAGCCAGGGGTGAGCACAGGCCTGAAACATCTGTTTCTAGTTCTCGCTGGGTTCCTGATGGGCTTTGCAGAGTCCCTGTTCTTCGTGCTGAAGGTGGGCCATACCCAGCAGGGCAGCATGGAGGAAGCCTGAGCCAGACGAGAGCCAGGCACCTTGGACAGCCGAAGCCCACAAGTGTGGTTTGGGTTTCCACACTCTTCTTGGACTTTTCCTGAGTAGAACTGATTCCTGACTCACTGTAGAAAACATCTGGCTATACATCAGTACAAAGCCATCGACTGTAGGTGACATTTTTGTTCTTTTTGTAGTGCTCTCTTCGGTTCATTGGTTATGTCCTTTTCCTTTTCTTCTTCCTACGTTGTTTTCTCTTTTTCCTCCTCCCCTTACTTCTCCCTAATTCTTCTCTGTCTCTTGGTTTATTTGGACTACTTTTGCTTCCCTCAGTTGAACATGTTAATGCAGAATGAGAGCTTCTCTGAGTTATGGACATTACTGGCTAGAGAAGGTCTCAGGACCTCAGCTCTGACAGTGAAGATGTAAGCGTACAACAAAATCTCTTAGTATGTCTGGATAGTAGTTAGGTATTTGGATTTTGTGCTTGAGAATTTGGATTATGTTTTATTTTTGTGTCCCTAAAATGTAGCATATAATAATCAGAGAATATTTGTTGAGTGAATGGAATGAGTCCCGTTGAGCTGGCCTATCATTTTGTTTGGTTATTCCCTTCAGGTAGAAAGAGCCATAGTTACCTAAATCTACTTATCCCTCAGGTTACACAAAAAATTTTAATGGGTCCTTAAATTTCTTTAATTTTTGCCTTTTGGTCACCTGGTGGAAAAACCCAAACACTTAGAAAATATTGGAAATGTTAAGGAACTTCTTAAAGCCCAATTGCTAGAGCTAAAGTTATCTTATTAGTTTTGTGTCTGCCATTGTTTATTTTGTCATCATTAACTAGACTTAAATTTTTACCTATGTAATTGTTAAGATAAATTTGAAAATTGAAGATTTGTTTCAAAATATATTCAGACATCATGTTCAATAATACAGCATGAACAGCAGTAATATTTTCTGAATGTATTTATTTTTCTTGCGATCAATTCCTTGGTTAGGTTTTTGAACATCTGCTTTAAACTCATTTTAAGGCTTTTGGGTTTTATTTGTAAAATGCTGAGTGTGCCTGGCAAATAATAGTTAATCAGTGAATGTGTACCTGACAATGAACATATCTTAGATTTTTTTCAAGCATAAATGTTAGCAAAAAGAATATGTGGTTTTCTCATTCAAGGGTTGGTAAATTAAGCTTGCAAAGGAAACTGCTGAGATCCCCATTTTTAGATTTTTGGGTTTAGTGTTCCAAATAAATGACTTTTGTGGTTAAGCTCTGCTCCCACTACTTTACTATTGACTTATACTTGTGGAAATTACTTACGTTTTAGTCACATGTTCACCAAGAACCAAGTAAGAGAATTCCTTCTTGGAGCGGTCGCCCCATCTGGATGGAAAAGATGGTAATGTGCAGAGTGAAAGTCCCACATACGTTTGCCGTCCACTCTTACACCCGACCCACGATATGTCAGTACTGCAAGCGGCTACTGAAAGGCCTCTTTCGCCAAGGAATGCAGTGTAAAGGTAGGATTTGATATTTTTCTTAAGTGAAATTTTTTTGTTAGCAAATATGGGTTTAAAATATTTATATTTCAGAAGCATTAGCCAAAAAGAATTGTCCTTGTAGTAGTTAATTTTTCTAAAAAGGAAAAAATGTATTGGTAATATAATGTGTGTATAAACAGCTACTACTCCCATCTGCAGTATGGGAGTTATGTACCAGACACTGTGCTAAAAACTTTATGTACTCAACCTTCAGAGCAGTCATATGTGAAACAGGCTTTTGTTAGTAGTAATAGGAGTCATTGTCCTTTTTAGGGTCATAGAGAGATTAGGTGACTTGCTTAAGGTCACCTAGCTGATAAACAGAACAAAAAATTTTGGCTGGTTTCTTAACCCACATGCTTGCCAATACAGAACAGCTAAGAAGCAGCAAAGATTATATTGGAACATCCATCTTTTCTGATTCCAGAGCCAGACACTACCCTAAATAGAAATAGTGCTTTCCTCTTTCATTAACTATTTACATACATACCCCCTAAACATACAAGAGTTTTGCTTTTTTGTTTTTAATTTCATAGCTAGGAGAAAAATTGTGCAAAAACTGTCATTCCAAAGAATATTCACACTGAAATAGAAGCTGCTGAAATTATAATAGAGACCTCTCCTTATTGAATACCAACCCAGTACACTATAGTATTTCCAAAACATCTCTTCATGAAATGGTTTTTATAGAACAGTGGAATAATTTTTTGCTTATGATTATATAATGCTTTCTTGCTTATTAAAGATGATTTTATCTTTTTGTTTCATATCTTCTCAACAATGCTATACAGTAAAGTGAAAACAAAAACAGAGAGTTTAAATGTCTCAGATTATTAGTCATGGAGCCGGGTTAGTCTACTGTCATCTTGTGTACTTTTTTCATGTGACTAATCTAGCGGTTCTCAGTACTGAACTTTTTATATAGTAGAAGTATCTGTGGAATTGAATTATTAAGTGATCTAAATAAAAATTAGGGTTGAGTTTTTGCGGACAATGATAACAGAATAAGATAATTATATATAAATTTAACTTAAATGTGTAGGAAAAGAAAGGTTATCTTGACAGTATATGAGAACATCAAATGCAGAAGAGGTTGTACTTTTTGTTGTCAGGTATTTAATAACCATTAAGCAGGCATAATTAAACGATTAAATTTATTCCAGCAACTTGCTTGGACTATGAGTTAATGCATAAATTTTTGTTTTGGGAAAGTCAAGACTCAGAGTTATTTTTATCCAGGTATTGCTGATAGATGCATTTCAAAGATGATATACTAATCACAGTTACATTAGAGGGCTCCACTTTAATGTAACCTCAAGAGCTCAGCCCTGTTCCCAGAGTTGTGCTTATAGTAGGTCTGGGGGAGGGTCTAAGAATTTGCATTTCTAACAAGTTGCCAAAGGATGCTGATGCTGCTGGTCTGGGAATCACAGTTTGAGAACCACTGAGTTATACAGTAGTGATGAACAGATAGTAGCTGGCACTGATCCGCAATGCTGTCAACCCTTAGGTTTCTTGGTAGACTGAGGGGAACCATTAGATGAGAGGGGACACCTGGTGCCTGGGCAGCTCAGTCCTTCCTCACAGGGCTGTATGGGAAAGCCCTTGCTGTAGTCACAATCAGTGTTTGCTGGGTCCCAGTTTCTTTTCTGCATGTACATCAGGTCTTGATGCTTAGGAATTGAAAGTGCGTGTCTGGCGTGTGTTGGATAGGAATTGAATCAGCTTGAGAAACTCACAAGTTGTGAGATAAGGGAAGGAAACATGGAGCTGCCGGCATATTTTGGCATGTTACACAGGTGGCACTAGCCTCACCGTACAGATGAAGAAATTGAGCCTGGGGGTGGGAGAAGTGCCTTGTGAAAGGTTATTATTTTAACGTCTTCATCATTATTAATAATATTCCATCTGTAGGTGACTTAGAGTCTGTCTCTATCTGATATTGCCTGACTTTTTGTATAAATTAATACACTGAATATTTTTCTTTTAGATTGCAAATTCAACTGCCATAAACGCTGTGCATCAAAAGTACCAAGAGACTGCCTTGGAGAGGTTACTTTCAATGGAGGTAAAATTCCTTTTCTTAATTTCTATTAAAAAAATCAGACGAAGTTAGGATTCTTTCATGTATTATCTCTGGATGAGTTTATAGTTGCATATTTTATTTTGTTTACTTTGTTCCTTAATGTAAAGGTTTTCTTCTGATCTAATAATCAAGCAAAATACAGAGATTAGTGACGGCAGATGCTTATTAGTAGTTGTGCCTCCCGCCCTTCTCAGGCCACTTGCCCCTCTTTCGTCTAATACAGCCAGTGGTTCTGCCTGTCCTCTTTCACCTCTAGACTCACAAGGACTTGTTCTAAAAACTGCTGTTGTCTCTGTTCTTTCACAGTTCTAATATTCTTTGACTCCCTGCTATACAGGCATTACTGTAAACTCTTTAAATATATTGACATTGAAATCTAAGAACAGCCCTTTGAGGTAGATACTAAGAGATGAATGACCTAAAGTGCAAAGGCGTTAAATGATTTGCCCCAGAAATATAGCCAATAAAGGACAGAACTGGGATTTGAACTCATTAAGTCTGGTTCTTTAGTCCATAGTGACTAGAGCACACAGTACTGCCTCTCTGTCTGTCAAATAATCGCTGACCATCCATTTTCCCTTTCGGGCCATTTTAATTATCTTCCCTTAGCTAATATTAAGCAAGGCAGCTCCTTTATTTGGAAAGAAGAAATAAGGACGCTAACCTTTTAGCAAAATTTTTCTTTGATAATTTGCAAGGGCCAGGTGCAGTGACTCACACCTATAATCCCAGCACTTTGGGAGGCCAAGGCAGGAGGATCACTTCAGCCCAGGAATTCAAGACCAGCCTAGGCTACATAGAGAAACCTTGTCTCTATAAAAAAATGAAAAAAACTAGCCAGGCATAGTGTTGTGTACCTGTACTCCCAGCTAATTGGGAGGCTGAAACAGAAGGATTGCCTGAGACTAGGAGGTCAAGGCTGCAGTGAGTTGTAATGGTGCCACTGCATTCCGGCATGGACAACAGTGAGACCCTGACTCAGAAAACCAAAACAACAGTTTACATGGCTAGAAAAAATTGGATGTAAGTAGTTCTGTAAGAGGAAAAGCATAAGAAATGGAAATTAAACTATTTGAGAACTTAACATTTTCTCTCATGGCATGTTTTGTGGCTGCTGATTTTTTTAGCCTGTTGTGCTGCTATAACAAAATAACATAGCCTGGGTAGCGTACAAGCAACAGAAATTTTTTTCTCATAGTTCTGGAGGCTGGGAAGCCCAAGGCGCAGGCAGATTCTGTGTCTGGTGAGAATCCATTTCCTGGTCTTAGATGGTGGCTTCTAGCTGCATCCTCCCAGGGTGGAATGGATGAAGAAGCTGCCTCGGACCTATTTTGTAAGAGCACTAATGTCATGAGGGCTCTGCTCTCATGATCTATTCACCTTCCAGTGGCCCCCTACCTAATATCATTACCTTGGGAATTAAGATGTCAACATACGAATTTTTGAGGAGAACAAACATTCAGACATAGCACTGATGAACACCGTTGGCAGAGTGTGATTGGTTTTCTTTCTTTTTTGGGGGATGGGGACAGGGTCTCTCTTGCTCTGTCACCCAAGCTGAAGTACAGTGGTGTGATCATAGCTAACTGCAGATCTGAACTCCTAGGCTCTTGGGATCCTCCTGCCTCAGCCTCCCAAATAGCTGAGACTACAGGTGTATGCCACTGCATCGAGCTAGTTTTTAAAATTTTTGCAGAGATGGGATCTCTGTGTTGCCTAGACTGGTCTTGAACTCCTGGCCTCAAGTGAGCCACCATGACTGGCCCGGTTTTCTCTTTCAGTTATTCTGAATTAGAACAGTTTTTCTGTATGACCAAAATCTTTTTTGGATTTATAGTTCATGTATTTGTGTTTTTGTGCTTTTCTGCCTTTTGACAAATGGATATGGAATACTATTTATAATTGCTTTAATGTGCATTTCTGTGATTACTTGTGAGTTTGTGATTCTTTCAAATGTTTACTGGTAATTTAAGGTGTAAGCAGTACCCTGTTAATTGCCTTTTCAAATGCTTTATTTTTCTGATTGTTTATTTGTTATAGATTTGCAGAAGTTGTTGATAATTCCATATACTAGTCCTTTTCTAGTTGTATGTAGTATAACGATACTCTGTCAGTGGCTTTATCTTTTTTAACAGCTTTATTAAGATATGATTTGCATTCCTTGTGATTCATTCATTTAGTATAGTCACAATCTATGCAGCCATCCCTACAATCTAATGTTAGAACACATTCATCACCCCAAAGAGAAACTCCATACCATGAATAGTCACTCTCTACCCTCTCCTCCCCACTAGCCCCTGGCAACCACTAATCAACCTTCTATTTTTTTGTTCTTGTCTATTCTAGGCATTTTATATAAGTGGAATTACACAATATGTAGTCTGTTGTGACTGGTTTCTTCCTCTTAGCATGTAGTTTTCAAAGTTCATCCATATTGTAGCATATGTCAATACTCAGTTCCTTTTTATTGACAAAAAATATTACTCTGCAAGGATATACTTCATTTTATTTATCCATTCACGAGTCCATGGACTTTTGAGATGTACCCACTTTGGGGCTACTATGAATAATGTTGCTATGAACACTCCAGTATAATTTTTCTGCAGACATATGTTTTCATTTTACTTGGGTAGATACATAGTGGAATGGAGTCATGGTAGCTTATATTTAACACTTTAAGAACCTGCAGACCTGTTTTCCAAAACAGCTGCACTATTTTGCGTTCCTATTAGTAGTATATGTGGGTTCTCTATATCCTCACCACCACTTGCTACTGCATGTCTTTTATTACAGCCATCATAGTAATTGTGAAGTGATATCCTATTGTGGCTTTCATTGTATCTCCCTGTTTGCTAGTGATGTTGGGCATCTTTTGCTGTGCTTATTGATCATTTTAATGTTTTCTTTGGGAAAATATCTATTCAGGTCCTTTTCCCATTTATCTTTTTATTATTGAGTTCTTTAAATACAAATCCCTTATCTGGTATATGATTTATAAACATTTTCTCCCATTCTGTGAGCTGTCTTTTCATTTTCTTAAGGTGCTGTTGGCAGCACAGAAGTTTCTGATTTTGATGAAGTTCAATTTTTTTTGTCACTTATATTTTTGGTGATGTATTTAAGAAAGTTTTGCCTAACCCAAGATCACAAAGATATATTCTTATGCTTTCTTCTACAAGCTTTATAGTTTTAGCTCCTACATTTTAGCTCCTACTTTCAGTTAATTTATATATGTTTTAAGGAAGGTGTCCAACTTCATACTTTTGCATGTAGATATTCTGCTGTCCTAGCACCATTTATTTAAAAGACTATTCTTTTCCCATTAATTTGTATTAGCACTCTTGTCAAAAATCAGTTGACCGTAATAGAATGGTGGTGACTTAACTTTTACCTTGTTTGTAGTATCTTTTGTCATATGGCAATTTAAAATTTGAATGTAATCAAATTAATTGACTCTATGCCTTCTGATTTGTGTATTTTGTAACTTTCTTTAAGAATTATTTTATCTGGAATCATAAAGATGTTTTCTTATAGTTTAAGGCTTTTTTCCCCCACATGTAATGAACTACTACTATTAATATAAAACTCTGAAATTCATTTGAAACTTTGCCAGAACCTTCCAGTTTGGGAACAGATGCAGATATACCAATGGACATTGACAGTAATGACATGAGTAGTGATGGTAGTCGGGGCTTAGATGACACGGAAGAGCCTTCTCCCCCGGAGGATAAAATGTTCTTCCTGGATCCATCTGATCTTGATGTGGAAAGAGATGAAGAAGCCGTTAAAACAATCAGGTAACACGTATATCGGTATTGCAAGCTACTTCCAGATATAAGGTCAATTCAGGATCTCATTAGGAAAAAGCCACATCTTTTGAAATGGAATCTAAAATGTAATTTAGAATCTAATTTAATTGTGGCTAATTCTTTTACATGCAATGTGGTATTATTTCTGAAATCAGTTACCACCTGTGCCGCCCCCGGAGATGGGAAGGTATGAGAATCCTTGTTTTTTTTAAAAAAAAAAAAAAGAAAAATACTTTAAATATAGTCTAGATATATTACTTAGTTGTGGAACAGCCACAGCAAGGAGCCAGTGTTGAACTTACAGTTAAAGCAACCAGTTTTTCACACAGGCAGATTTACCTGATAGTAGAAACAGCCATGAAGAATATACTTCTAGGCCGGGCATGATAGCTCATGCCTTTTATGCCAGTACTTTGGGATGCCAGGGTGAGAGGATTGCTTGACTGGGGGAGTTTGAGACCAGCCTAGGCAACATAGCCAAAAACCGTCTCTACAAAATAAAAATTAAAAATTAGCCATCATGAACGTGTAGTCCCAGCTACTCAGGAGGCTGAGGTGGAAGGATTGCCTGAGCCCAAGAGCTCAAGGCTGTGATGAACTGTGATCATGCCACTGCACTCCAGTCTAGGCAGCAGATTAAGACCCTGACTCAAAAAAAAAAGAATATACTCCTGAGAATGTTAGAATGTTGCACAAAGGCGATAGTGAGGGAAATTGAGGGCAGTTTTCATATTACCACAATTAATCTATTAACATTTTATAAAAATGCTATTGGTCTATAAAACTTAAATATCCTACCATTTTCATAGAAATTGAATTTTTGTAGCCTGCGGGATATACTGCTTTATAACAGAATGTCACCATCTTGGCCAGTCCTGTTTTTTATTGGCAACAGAGTTATTTAGAGAAAATGAGTTGTTTATCAACCTCACACAGCTGAGTGGTCATTTATTCAATTTGATTTATCATTAAATTACAGCTATTATTATCATTATTTACTAAAGCTTGATGTTCACCCAGTTGGAGACTATTACAGAACCTAACTAGTTTTCTAATCAAGAATACTTCGTAGTTTAAAAGAAAATACTTAGCTGTTTGAGACTCAAATTTCAAAACATGTATATTGCACATATACCTTGAATTTCAGTTTTCAACCCGTGTTTCAGTATTACCTGATTTGACTCATTACATTGTTTTTCATTTTCTTAATATCTGTAAATCATTTTCCTTTAAATATCCTCTGCTACTTTTTGCTGACAACATGATTGACTGAATTTGACATTTGAGCCATATGAATTTGAGTATTTGTATACTTAAATCTTGCCTTGTTATGAATTTGCTCATTAACCATGCTGCCTGGGGTAGGAAAACTCTTCCAGAGTAAACCCAAATGAGACTCTCTCCTGGGCTCCACATTTTCCAGTCAGGAGGATGCTTTCTGCTTTGCTCATTGTTTTCTTATTTATTTGTGACTCTCCAGAAAACATTCATGACAAATGAGGATTTACCATATTATCTTAAGCTGTAATCAACTGTGTATCATCATAACAGTATTAATTTTCTTCTTCTTAAGCCATTGTTTTACTAGGATATTTTGAAAAAAATTCATCTCAATTATCTTAAAAACAGCTTCATGAGCCTATAGTATTTATATGATTTTCAAAAATCTAAATTACAAGTATTTATCATAAATTGTGAATGTTTTTTAGTCCATCAACAAGCAATAATATTCCACTAATGAGGGTTGTACAATCCATCAAGCACACAAAGAGGAAGAGCAGCACGATGGTGAAGGAGGGGTGGATGGTCCATTACACCAGCAGGGATAACCTGGTCAGTATCACATGTATCTGCATAGGTTCGTGAAACCTGGGTATGAGTTTTATTTTTCGCATTTTTGCAGTCAGAATGAGGATGAGATATGTATTAAGACATTGTCTTCTCTAGCAGTGCATAAAAGTTACACTGGAATTATAGGTGCATTTGGGAATAATTTTTAAGAGATAGAATATTTAATGTATTGTCTCTACAAACTGATAGAGCAGTCGAGATTCAAAAAGGGTTTGGAATTGTGCCACAATCAAGAGTATGTACTTGAAACACAATGAGCTACAAATAAAGACAGAAGAAACTAGAACTTTATCTGAAAGGTTAGCTTCATTTACCACCAGAAATAGGAAACGTGTTTGGTTTTATCTAGATTTAGTGTACTAAGTGTGAATATACAAATTATTAACTTAGTGTAAATAAGAAAGCTGTTTTTTGATCTAGAAAAGAGGAGGAATGGTGAACAATAGTGAAATGACAGTAGATTAGAGGAAGCAGCATAGTGTAGTTAAGAACATAGGCTGTGGAGTCAGGCTGCCTAAGTCTCTGTTACTGCAAACTTGGGAAAGTTAGTTTCTTTATGCCTCCGTTTCTTCATCTGTAAAATGGGCATCATAATGGTAACTACCTAATCCAAATAAGTTAATATATGAGAAGAGCTTGGAGCAGTGTCTGGCATACAGTAAGCACTCAATAAATGTTAGTAGCCACTATTTTATTACTATTTTGGAAATTTGCTAAATAGGTTACTGAGAGAAATTTCCTAGCCTAAAGGTTATGTGGTGACAACAGCATAGACTGCTGTTGTATGTGTTTTTTTCTTTTCTTTATAGACCATATCCTTCCAAATGGAACTTAAAGTAGTATACCTGCATTTGGGAATTTAATTAGAGGCACTAAATCGAATCAAGAGGGGGAGACATAGTTCAACAAATGGTGTTGGAACAATTATGTAGCCATGTTGAAAAAAATAAAGTTGTAATATAGAGGGTGCCCAAAAAATGTATACACATTTTAAGAATAATAATCTTGGGATGAAAACTTTGCATAATTTTGCTGTTTTAAGAATGCACTGTATGCTTATTCTGTGAATTTCTGTCTTGTGCACATTGTTTGGTAGATTCTGTGGCAAGTATGTAAACTCTTCCAACACTACAGCAGAAGCAGCAGGACTTGCTGTGTGAGGCCTCCTGTATCTTCCCTTGTGCACATCACACATAGGATATGCATCTCAAACTATCATGAATGCATCAGTTGTTAGGTGTGTTGGAGGCTCTGTTGCATGCTCACGTCTTCATTGTTGTGGTACTTCCACAACATTCTTGAATTTTAAGTACCATTTCAAGATGAACTTGTGCTCCTTGAACAACAGCCATGCTTCTGCCATTTTCTTTGACTGTCCTGCCTGTCACGTGGTGACACTAGCATTCATTTGATTAATGCCATCTTTTAACTAAACTACCCTCCTAACTCCACTCCTTCCTTGCATCCTAACGACCCCATCATAGGGTGGAATCACGGCTTCGTTACCATATCCCATGCTCTGCCTTGGCACTGCTGGCCACACAGCTCACTAAGGCAGACCCTGACATAGTCTTGCCTTGGTCCATATGCTCATACTTGTGTTGGCCTTTATGGCATTAATTGAAATGCGTTGCTACCATCATTCAATTCAACTTTGAAAAGTAATACATATAAACCTATATAGTAATGCATAATACATCACTTAAAATGTGTATACATTTTTTTGGCACCCCAGTGTACCTCATACTTTATACATAAGAAATCTAAATGGATCAGGGATTTAAATGTAAAGAAATTAAACCAGTAGAAGAAACCTTGGAAGAATGATGTTATAAGCTCTCAAGGGGGGGGGGGGGGACAATAAAAGATCAAGAAATTCAATCTCATAAAATTTTACATGGTAAAAACAAATGACAAACTGGATACAGTATTTTCACTTCATTCTAAACAAGAATTAATTTTATAATAGGTGAAGAATGCCAACAAATTGGTAAGAAAAAGACTATAATACAATAGAAAAATGGGCAAAGAATATGAACACACTTCATATTCTTATTCACAGAAAAGGAAACACAAATGACTTTTACACATAAGAGCTTGATTTTATTTCTAGTAAAAGAAATATCATCTGAAACACTGAACTACTAGTTTTTATTTTTTAGTATCAAAAAGTTTAATAACATACTAGTGAGGGTATGCATACAGAGGACTCTTGTGTTTTGTCGATGGCACTATAAATTGGGTCAAATCTTGTGTAGAATAATTTAACATAATCAAGCAGAATGACATATGTACATATCTTTTGACCCAGCATATCACATTCTAGAAATTTAGCCTGTGGGTAAATCATATATTTATATATGTGTGTGTGTTTAATTTATGTGTGCATGCTTACAGTTCTCTAAAAAGATTCTCAAAAACGTAGTGACATTGTTCACCTGGTGTACGGGTGAGTGATGGTGAAAGTGATGCTTTTCACTGTAGATCCTTTTTATATTTTGAGAGTTTTGAACTTCATGAATTTTAAACCTATACAGAAATACAAATTTCTGAAAGGAAAAGGAAAGCACAGTACTTTAGCAGAATCATTTTTGAACCTCAGTTTCTAATCTTTATTTTATAGAGAAAGAGGCATTACTGGAGACTTGACAGCAAATGTCTAACGTTATTTCAAAACGAATCTGGATCGAAGTATTATAAGGTGAGGATTTCACATTTTAAAAGATACAGGCATAATGTGTTTTCCAAAGAATACTCATTAACTGTTATATTCAAATATGCCTATTATGACTCTGCCTACTATGGTTTCTAGAAATCACTGTGAGGGTCCTTGTTAAAGCGTCTGTCCCCATCCCTCCACTTTACCCCACAGCAGCTCTGCTCCCAAGGCTTGGTGTTTGTAGTGTGCTGCTTTGTTTTGGCTTGCCTGTCAGGCTACCACTGCTTTCCTTCTGGATGCTAATTAGGAGTAGACTCTTAGGAAGTCCGTGACCGTCGCCAGTCCACGGGAGGTCAGTGAGGTGTTCAGTTTCCTCCCACCTGCCACGTTACCTGAGGCTCCAGTATTTTAGCAGCTTATTTTGGCTCTTTCTCTTCTCCTTCCTCGCTGGGATTTCCACACATTTTTGCCATGTCACAGACTGACACCAGGCAAGACGACAGGTGTGGCAGTTAGGTCAGTAACTCAGAAAATGGGAACTGATGGCTTGCTTTGAGCTAGTGGTTTTTTTCTAAAATAAATTTTTTGCCTTAGGGAGCAGACGAAGCATAAATGATTGTAGCAGTTTATTCCAGTGGACAGAACCAGAATGGAGTGCTCAAGAAGCCTGTGCTGACCAGGATTCTGCTTTCTCTGCTGCTGTCTCTGCTGCTGTCTGGGCTATATCTTGCAGACAGCAGCCACTAGAGAAGCAGTTGTAGAGTGGATTTAATGAAACTAGAAGTTACAACTGTTGGAGATAGTGGTAGATTACCCTCCTAACTCCACTCCTTCCTTGCATCCTAACGACCCCATCATAGGGTGGAATCACGGCTTCGTTACCATATCCCATGCTCTGCCTTGGCACTGCTGGCCACACAGCTCACTAAGGCAGACCCTGACATAGTCTTGCCTTGGTCCATATGCTCATACTTGTGTTGGCCTTTATGGCATTAATTGAAATGCGTATCTTCGGTTCTTTATGTTTAAAAATAAAAACAAAGATGTATTCATATTTTCCAATGCTTAATTTTTCTACTTCAGGAAATTCCACTTTCAGAAATTCTCCGTGTATCTTCCCCTCGAGATTTTACAAACATTTCACAAGGCAGCAACCCACACTGTTTTGAAATCATCACTGATACTATGGTATACTTCGTTGGTGAAAACAATGGAGACAGCTCTCACAATCCTGTTCTTGCTGCCACTGGTGTTGGACTTGATGTAGCACAGAGCTGGGAAAAAGCAATTCGCCAGGCTCTCATGCCTGTTACTCCTCAAGCAAGTGTTTGCACGTCTCCGGGGCAGGGGAAAGATCACCGTAAGCAATGAGCTGTTGTCTGACTTCTCCTCTTTGGTTCTTAAGCATTTTGTGTGTCTGGTTGTGTTCCATTGTATGTGTATGTGTGTGTGTGTTTTAAGTAGGATTTATTAAGAAGACAGAAAAGCTTCCACAGTGGTGGGGGGATCTGAAAGAAGATACCCCCATTGTGTGTTTTTAATGCTCACCTTAAGCTTTGTCTTTAGTAATCAGTGCTGTTAGTTAATTCCCTTATAAAATTATGCTTGGGCTCCAGAGTCAGTCTCTCCCCACATTAAATGTCTGACTCTACCAACCTATTATATGATCTTAGGCAAGCACTTTACCTCTCTGTAATACTGCTACTTCATAGAGTTGTCAGTACCAAATGAAAGAGAACCTGTAAGATAGAGAGCAGTATTTGGCAGCCATGAAGTCTCCTTGGATTACGTGTACTATGAGTATTAATATTTGCTTCATGGTGGAATATAAATAATAGCGTTAAAGTTCACATCATACTCATGAAATCTATGAAGTCAGAAATGCTATTTTAAAACAAATATTTAAAAACAATTAAAACATATGTTCTGCACCAACAAACTTATATAATTAAACCTAAATTGGATAACGGTTAAAGTGAATAGTTGCATAATATATTGCCACTTTTCCCCCATTGACTCATTCACTAGAAAAAATATATTTAAACTGAAATAAGCCAGGCGTGATGGCTCATGCCTGTAATCCCTGCATTTTGGAAGGCTGAGGCGAGAAGATTGCTTGAGCTCATGGGTTCGAGACAAGCCTGGGCAACATGGTAAAGACCTTGTTTCCACAATAAATTAAAAATAAAAATTAGCTGGGTGTGGTGACATATGCCTGTGATTCCAGCTGCTTGAGAGACTGAGGTGGAAGGATCTTCTGAGCTCATCAGGTCAAGGCTGCAGTGACCGTGAGCATGCTACCGTACTCCAGCCTGGGCGACAGAGTGAGACTCCCACTCGAACATAAAATAAAGTAAAATAAACTGAAATAAGTATCAACCACTTTCCAAATGTAGTTTATTTTAGTTTAGTTATATTATTTTATGAAACTGTTCTTGGTATTATGCTGGGCCCTGAGCTAGAATTTAAAAGAAATATAGAAGTCATAAAAGCTATTTACGTATGTAAGTGTTAGATGGTAGCATTAGAGCAGTACAGTGCAAAAAGAAGAACTGCATTACTTAAAACCCTAGATAGGGCAGGAGGATTGAGCAGGACTTCATAGTGGAGCCTGATTTGGACTTTGAATCTCAGCACTGGGATAAGCAGAGCTAGATGGCAGCAGCAGAGGGCGGTGTCATTCTAGTTGAGACAAGTATGATCAAAGGGACGAGGATCATTACTGTGTACATGTTTGGCATAATATTGATTTGGGGGTGTGAGGGTAGTAGGTAAATAGATATTTCATGGTGGTTCTTAAGTTGTGGGGAGTTTTAAACAGAACACCTTGTCATTTTGATTAAAAGCAAGGACTGTTACCTCAAAAAACAATATAGGCACTTGCACTTTATTTTTTTCCAAGTCGGATCTCCCTCTGTTGCCCAGACTGGAATGCAGCATCATGGTCATGGTTCACGACAGTCTTGACTCCCAGGGCTCAGGCAACCCTTCTGCCTCAGCCTCCCAAATAGCTGGGACTATAGGTGCAGACCACTACGCCCAGCTAATTTTTTTTTTTTTTTTTTTTATAGGTGAGGTCTGAACTTGAGCACGAGCCACCTCACCCAACCATTTACACATTTTTTAAATATATAATTTCCAAGGGTTTAGGGACCCTGTCAAGCCCATCCATGGACCTCTGCCCTAGGATTAAGAGTCTCTAGAGGCAGAATTGCAAAGGAATTAATAATGAAGATTCTTGAGAAGGAAAGCCCAGTTGTGTTGCTTACTAGCTATGTGACTAGACCCTACAGTTCTTAAAGTGGGAAGAAGAATAAGTGCATGTAATGTGCTTAGCACCGACATGACACTGTTATGCTGTCGTTGCCATCTTATAACAGTTTGTCTGGAGCAGACTTCCCTGGGGAGCAACAGAAGTTAAAACTGGGTGGAGCTAGTTAGTGGAGACCTTTGAAAGAACATAAATATTGGAACTACTGAAAGAAATGACTGAAAGGCAGTTTTAGGCACATTTTGTTGAGACTGTGCCTCATTAATAGTTAAAACTTGAATTATTTAAAATATTTTTAATATTGAGTTAGTATTTTTAAATGGAGCTTGTGACAGGTATGCTACTTGTTTTTGATGCATAGTTTGCCTACATTTTCTTATTAATTAAGTTTTATATTTTTATACTTGGAATTGTAAAGGAAACATCATGTCTTGTCTCTGAGTTGTCTCCAGCATTCTGGCTGTTTAATTCCTGTTCTCTTGCATCCTTTCATGTTTCTCTTTCCTCCTCTTCTTGTCAGTTATGTTCTTTGCTTACCAAAGTAATACAGACATTTAAACTTTATAGAAACGTATAATATAAAATGAGAAAGTTCTCACTCTATACATATAACCTCCATCCCCACCCCCAATCCTGTATCACCCCCTCAGAAAACCATTAACAGCTTGCTGTATATTTCTTGATTCAAGAAGGGCTTGGGGAAGCCTATACTATCTGTTGTACTGTTGTGTTTTTCTTACAAAAAATGAGGTCTGTTCTATTCTTTTTGCAATTTGCTTTTATCCACTATTTAAAATATATCAGGTATATTTTAATGTCAGTATATAGGCTTGCCCGATTTTAAATTTTTTATGAAAGTAATGCATACTTTTTTATTTTTAAAAATCCAAGCAATATGGAAGTCTATAAAAACTAAAATCTTTTTTAACAAACCCCACCTTTTCTATTCACCAGAAGCAATCATATATTTATTTTTGTTTTTAATTCAAACACTGCTATCTTGCAGCTTCCTTTTTAACTCAGTAATATATCATGGCTAGCTTCCTGACTCAGTACTTACAGCCCTACAATCATTGATTAAATGTTTAGCATTCCTTTGTATGAATGTATCATATTTTATTTAACTTTCTGTTGATGGGTTGTGTGTTGATAGATTTTTTAAATGTAATTGTATTATATTAACTGTGTGCTAACCTGTGTAAGTTTGAGATACCATGAGTAGTCACATGTCCGTAAAGATTATTGTTAAGTCATATACTAATACTTTTGATCTTTTATCTTATCTCTTACAGAAGATTTGTCTACTAGTATCTCTGTATCTAATTGTCAGATCCAGGAGAATGTGGTAAGTAATCATTATAGCTGACATGTGCAAACTGGGTGATTAAATAAAATAAAAGAAAATCTTATTAGTGGAATAAGTTTATAACTCAAAATATTGTGCAGTTTGCCTAAAGATATTAGGCTAGACTTTGTGGGTGAAAACTTCCCTAAGGAGTTCTGCTTTAAGGGGAAAACTACGGCAGACTTTTAAAATTACAAAAATAAAGCCAACTTTTTCATTAGAACAAGTGACATTAGAATATCACAGAGTTACAGACTAGTTCAAAAAGAAGGGAGACGTTACATCTTATGGGGTCAGCAGGGAAACTGTCCTAAAGGAAGTACAGTTTGAACTGTGCCTAAAGAGATGGAATGGATTTTGACAGACGTGGTAGAGGGATGCAGGTTGGGGGGGAAGGTTTCATGCAAGTACAGGGAACAGGATAAGCCTAGAGGAAAGCAAGAAATGTGAGACCTGCACAGAGGGGCGGCTGGGTTAAGTTGGCTGGTGTATACAGCTGATGTGGGGTTTTGTAACAGGTCAGCAGATGTTTTCTGCAAAGGGCCAGCTTTGCAGAAAATTTTTCAGGCTTTGTAGACCATATATAACTACTAGTTGTATGACTAGTAAATTTTTCAGGCTTTGTAGCCCATATATAACCTCTCAAGTTTGCAGCTACAGCAAGAAAACAGCCATAGGAAAGACATAAATGAATGAACATGATTGTCCAATAAAACTTTATTTATGGCCTTGAAATTTGTATTTCATCTAATATTCACATGTCACACAGTATTATTTTGATTTGTCTGGTCATTGAAAGATCATTTCTAGATCAGGGGTCATACAAAAAGAGGCAGGAAGCCTCCAACTAGCTATAGTTTGGCAAGCCCTAGATTAAAAGGACGAAAAGCCAGGATATTGCTCAACAGCCATATAGAATCTCTCTGATAAAATTCTCTTTCTCTTCTGCTTGGGATATCCAGTTGTTAATAGTTCTCTACCTTATAAATGTTGTTTGAGATTTCTAAGATTGCAATGAAGACTGAACATCTGGTGTTACTGGAGATAGAGAATTTCAAGGAGATACAATTTGAAATTTGAATCTCTTGTCCTGGTGGGAGATAGAATAAATATCATATTCTTGGGGAGAGAAAAGGGCATGCCAAAACAGGCGAGCACAAACTTTGAATGATCCCATGGGAAACTCGAGGGTGTAGCCATTCATGGCTGGGGGAAAAGATGCAGAATCAGTCTTTTTTTTTTTTTTTTTTTAAAGCCTTTTCTAGCAGTCATAGTCTGTACATAGGATGCCCTCTATCTAGTTTGATTAGAACGAACATTTGGTTAGTTAACAAAAGTTGCCTAAAGTTGGGAAACATATAAAAATGGTTCTTACAGACCTTAGGATGTTGATTACAACTTAACACCTGTATGTGTATGTTGGCTGCCCTTTGTAGCAGGGCTGAGGCTTTGTCTCTACATGGGTCTGCAAAGTGGAGATCCACTTAGTCTTCCTTTCATCAATTCCACCTGCCATGCGATTCTGACTCTAATACCCCAAGTCAGTGTAGAAATATTCTGACAGTATCAAACACTCCCCTCCCCAAAAAAGGAAAGGAGGGAAGAGCAGGGAAGAAAGATTAAGGAGTAGATTTGAGTTAGATTTCATCTCACCCATACTCTTCTCATGGGTCTTTCAAAATCAGTCTAATTCCAGTGATTTGAACTTTTGAACTTTTCTTCCAAATCAAAGATAGCAAATCGCCTTAATGGTAAAGTAGGTAAAATTTCATTGCTTATTTTTTATTCATATACTTTTTATAGGTTGCTACAAAATAAATGTTTTTTTAATTTAAAGCATTTTTTTCCAAAAGGCTTCTTACAGAATATATTATGTTTGCAGTTTAATAGATGTGATATAAAACTTGTCTCTTCTAGAACATAGAAAGATTGTATTTTATTAGTTTGTACTTTGTGAAAATTATTTATCTCTAGCATAAACAAAAACGTATTTAAGTATTTGAATGAAGAAAGTCAGAGATGTTGACATTGATTTTATAGAGGTAAATAAAACTTATAGCTTACTTTTGCCTAACAGGACATCAGTACTGTTTACCAGATCTTTGCAGATGAGGTACTTGGCTCAGGCCAATTTGGCATCGTTTATGGAGGTAAGTGATGACTTACAGCCTTTTGCATATTGTACATGTCATAGAAAAACCAGGAAATTTAGGCAGCTATTTTGTCATCTCACACTTCTGTCAAGTACCCTTTTTCTCAAAGGTAAACTTGTATCAGCTAAGTCTTTTTCACTGTAACTGAGTATTCATCCTTCATTTCAACTACAAACTTTAAAAGTAAAAAAAAATAATAATCAGAAAATTAGCTTCATAATAGTCTTATTTTATCTCTTCTTGTAGCTCATACATAAAGACATTGTGGGGGTGGTTTGAAGTTCATGTTGGGTTGTGTGGACTTGTTCACTGAAGTATATTCCCTACTAGTTTTCCAACACAAATGGCACCACTGGTCTGCCATTGGCGTGAGTGTCCTATCAAGTCTGAAGACCTGAATCTGAAATGCAGCCCTGTGACTTACGATATTGATGGAATCATTTACCCTCACTGTGCCTTAGTATCTTCAAATGTGTAATGCAGCTGATAAAACCTGATTTGCATAGCTCATGGGGTTGTAAATATTAATTGGACCTACTCTGTATAAAAGTACTTTATAAGCTGTGATCCAAGATACAAAAGAAATGTTCGACCCTTGTCATCCCTTACCAAGACTGGGACAGTCCTATAGCTGGCCTGTGCCTTCTGGTCTTCTTACCTTCTTTTCATACTCCTCTTGGAGTGAATGTTTCAGAAAACTCAAATCTGATATCAGTGTTACCTCACATTGAACCCTTATGTGGCTTACAGCTGCAGATTCGGGCCAGTTTTCCTTGCAGGGCGTTTCCAGGCTGCTGTGATTTTTCCCTGCTCCTCTGGCCTCCTGTCTAACTACAGCTCCCTCTTTGCTTGGTCTTGCAGTCCTACTTACATGCCTCCATACCTGTGCTCAGCTCCTTCTCCATCCCTTTGTCCCTCTAGCGACCACTGAGTCATACTTCAAGGCTCAACTGAAGGGCTTCCTCACTGGAGAATTTCTTAACCCCATCCCTACCTCTGCATCAAGTAAAACAGATCCTTCTTCCTTGTACTCCTGCTGTGTAACATGCAACCATCTATCGTAGTATCTCCAACACTTTGGGTTTATATTATTGTCTGCCCTCTGAACTTAACTGGGGGGATGACTAAGAGATGCCTTGGTTTCTTCATATTCCTAGCACCTAGTATGTGACTGCATATAGCAGTCACCCAGAAAACATGTGGATTTTACATGCATGTATAACATTCTGTGATTTGCAACTTCAGATTTGTTGGTTTTAAGACTAGTGATATCTCTAGAGGACATTTAACTTCTTATCAAATATGCAAAAATGCAAGTATGCAAAATTTGTCCTGTGTTTTCAAGGAGTCAGACTTTTATGATTGTGCCCTTGAGACAGGTGTGCCCTTGAGACAGATGAGTTACTTTCAAATAAATAGCTATGTAGAGAACAGCAAATCACATACAGGTTAAAAACAAATACCATTTCCACATCTGAATCTGTAGTATCTAAAATAATGCCTAATGCTTAATAGGTATAAGATAACTAATTAATTTGAATTAAAGTATAAGATAACTAATTAATTTGAATTAAAGAATGAGGGAATAGCTATTTATTGCAGACTTCAGCCTTGTAAGTCTTTTATATCTAGAGTCTAGAATATAGGAACCCAGAGTGTGTTGGTATAAGTGGTTAAGTCACTGTGCTGATTCAGTGAACCTCGAATAAAAGTAATTCATTCGTGTAATATTTCCATCTTGACAGAGTCTCTGAAGACTAGAACAGGATAATTAACTGTCATTTAACAAGGTAGATTACTTGTCACCAAACAAGTCCATTCTAATTTTCTGCTGTTTCAGATAATGAAACTGCCTTTATTAAGGGCAAATATTATAAAGAGAAAATATAATTTCTTAGAATTAAAGATGTGTGAAGGAGTGGTGGAGAAAAAACAAAATGAGTAAAAAAAAAAAAAAAGATAAAGGAGTAAATACATACAAAATTCAATCTGTAGACAATTCCCTAATAAAGCTTTTGTATTTTGTGTGAGCTGTCAACTTACTTTTTATTTTTTTAATTTTTTTTTAGGAAAACATAGAAAGACTGGAAGGGATGTGGCAATTAAAGTAATTGATAAGATGAGATTCCCCACAAAACAAGAAAGTCAGCTCCGTAATGAAGTGGCTATTTTACAGGTAAACCAAGCGGTTCATGTAGGTCTTCATTTTGGATTTATCAGTTCTATTTAGTATGCAGATAAGAAAAAGATGTGTTTTTTGTTTTGATCTTCCGACCTTTTGGCTAAGTAAGAGGCTGGTAAGAATCTGAAGTAACTGCTTCTCTTTTTTTTTTTTTTTGTTAGAAGGCAAAATTGGGCCAAGTGCAGTGGCTCATGCCTGTAATCCCAGCACTTTGGGATGCAGAGGCGAGAGGATTGCCTGAGTCCAGGGGTTCGAGACCAGCCTGGGCAACTTGACAAGACCTTGTGTCTACAATAAATCAAAAAATTAGCCAGGTAGCACATACCTGTAGTTCCATCTCCTTGGAAGGCTGAGGCAGAAGGATCGCCTGAGCTCAGCAGATCGAGGCTGCGGTGGCCATGAGCATGCCACTGCACTCCAGCCTGGGCAACACAGTGAGACACCCACTGAAAAAAATAAATAAAAAGGCAAAGTTAAAATTAGTAGGAGTTTGTTTAAACTATGCTTTTCTAAGTAAAATCTTTAAAAAGGAAACTAAAATTGTATTATTAATTCATCACTCCAAGAGCTTAAAAATTTTTGACCACAACATTTTATCAGGAGATACTTGTTGCATCCATCCAGTTCTCACAGATGATTGATTAATTATTGGAACAATAGTATACAGATAAAGACTGCTTACAAATGAGGTACCTTTTAACAGCATTTATTAATTCAAAACTTTAATTAATTTTGTAATGGCTTAAAGATATATTAGCAATGACTTAAATCCCATAAAGTAAATGACTGTATGTTTTTCTTTTCATCTAACATTTTTACCCCTTTTGGAGTCATCTAGAACACCAAAATTTAGCTTGGACCATTTTCTGAATATTGTCACATAAATAATTATAATATGCAAATATTTATTAATCCATTGTACAGCTTTTGCATATTATAACAGAAATCATGGTCATATAATACTTAATGCTGTCAGATCCCCATTTGCTGGTGGGTGAAATTCAAGACACAGTCTCCTGAACTTATACTTCCTTGAAGAAGGTAAGAAAGTTACAAACATATGGTTAATTTTACATTTATTACATTATTGGTTCCTATTTAGTAACATTTGCCTCATTTTTTCAGAGGTGTAATAATCAAAAGCTTGTGGTCAGTTAGGTACCTATGGTCACATCGAGACTGCCTCTTCCTATAAAGTTACCACTAAACAGAATATTACCAGCATTCTGGCTCTGTGTTAGTGTGAATATATTGTTAGGGATTTTTGCATAGACACTCATTGTCCAACTGATGGGTAAAAAAATAAAAATGAAGGATGTATGCCTAAGGATTGTTTTCTCCTTGACACTTTGATCACACAGAGTGAACTACATATTGAAGCTTCTCCTCGCCACCTGTTAACAGCTATGAATTATAATAACTAAATTTAGGGATTTCTAGGTGACGCACAGTGTGAATAACTTTATTATTATATCCTTCTGGTTATTTTCATCAATATTGCCTGACTGGGAACAGATAGTAGTATGTCTCCAAATGATATGGTTTTCATACTAAATTCCCTTGTCTCATTCAAGATGTTGCCCAGGTAGCATCTCCTCAGTGAAGCTATACCCTCTGTCCAGCTTACACCCACCTCCCACCCCTGTTCTCCCCTGATCTTTCTATTCTCCATAGCACTCATCAACTCCATCCAACTGTTTTGTCTTTACTTTTCCAACTGATTTGCTGGTTTGTTTCCTATTGTCTTTCTCATCTTCCTAGAGTTAATAAGCTCCATGAGACAAGGGGTGAATCAAGAGTACCTACATAGTACTAGGCACATGGCAAAGTACTGGCACTTAATATTTAATGAACAAATATGTTTTATGTGGGAAATCATCTACAGTGCATTGTTAGATGAAAACAAGTAGGATGGAATGACTCCATTTGTGTCACTTTTCAAAGTAATGTGGGCCGGGGCTGGGTGGTTCACGCCTATAATTCCAGCACTTTGGGAGACTGAGACAAGAGGATTGCTTGAGCCCAGGAATTAATGACCAGCCTGGGCAGCATAACAAGGCCTCATATCTACAAAAGTAAAAAAATTTAAAAAATTAGCTGGGCACGGTGGCACACATCTGTAGTGCCAGCTACTCAGGAGACTGAGATGGGAGGATTGCCTGAGCCTAGGAGGCTGTGGTGAGCTGTGACACACCACTGCACTCCAGCCTGGGCAATAGTGAAGCCCCGACTTAAAAAAATAAGAGTGTGTATTTAGGGAGCACGTTGTGGGGCAGGAATGAAGTTGGGGAGGGAGGCTACTTTCACTTCCTAGACATGGTGTATATGGTGATGTAAACCGCTGTTTTTGCTGTTGCCTGAGAAGGATAGAGAAAAGAGGGAAAAGAGGGGTAGTGATCCACAGCTGCCTGTGTAAACCAGAAAATGTTATCAGAAACTCAGGGAAACTTCTGGTTTGAATATTGTGCTATAAACTCAGCATTCGCCCTTTCTCTTCCTAGACGTCACCCAAAAGCTATGAGAAAATGGTTGAACAGAAGGAAGCATACTCGGTCTTTAGTAGAAACAGAAAAGAATTCAGATCTACAGAGTAGGTCCATTTCCAAAAGCAGGGGCGATGAAGCATGGTGGATGCAGGAAGAGACACCACAGTAAGAACCACTGGTTCTTTACAGCTGCGATGTCCTCCCTAGGTCCTGTCCCCAGACAGAAAGCCAGGAGGGATCATGGTCTGCAAGATTTAATGCACAGCAGAGTGCAGATCATACTATACCAGATAACAGCATCATCGTTTACAAAGGAGAGCTAGAGAAGATACAAAGAAACAGACAAGCACATGAGTAGCCCCGGACAGATGGAGTAGACAGAAATAATTAACATACAAGGCTAAACAGAGTAAGGCAGAGCTAACTGCATTACACTGAAAAACAAAGAGTACCTCATTAATTCAGTAGAGGAATAGTAGAAACAGTATTCTTGGATCGTAATGCAATAAAAGTAGAAATAAAATCATAAGACCAAAAGCTCTTACTACCTGAAAACTTGAAAATATTATCTTAATTCTTGAATCAAAGAGCAAAATTAAAATTTCAGAATATTCTTAAGTAACCATGAAAATACTGTATATATCAGACCTTGGACTGTCGTTCAGAGACCAATTTATAACCTCGATTGTTGAGCAAGAAAGATTGAAATATGAACATCACATGTTCTCACTCATAAACGGACCTTGAACAATTATGGTAATACTATAAGAGAATGATTGGCAGTAGTGGGAAACTGCCAGGAGGGGGGCAGGGAAATTGGCAGTAGTGGGAGTCTGCCTGGGGAAGGGGGGGCACACCTCGTTAACAAGGGTACCTGCATAATGAACATTTGTATACCTAACCCTGAATTGTACCCCACATCTTTAAAATAAAAAAAAAAGAAAGAAAAGAAAGATTGAAGTAAGTGAATTAGGAGTCCAACTCAAGAAGTGAAAGAATGAACAATAAATAAGCCTAAGGAAAGTAGGCAGGATTAACAGATAAAAAATGGAAGTTAATAAATACAGAAAAGAAATAATAAATCCAAAATCTGTTTCTTAGTGCAGGGCAGGGAAAGGGTCATATATAAAAATAGCCAAACAATAAAGAAGAAATATAAAATTATCTTGGGGAGGTGACCACAGAAAAACAAAAGGAATCTGGGATACTTACTTAACTCTATCGAAGAGAAATTTGGAAACTTGGGTAAAACAGGTAATTCTCTATGAAAGAATAGTTTATTAAAAGAGATTTAAACAAACCATCCAGGTGCAGTGGCTCATACCTGTAATTTCAGCATTTTAGGAAGCCAAGGCAGGAAGATCACCTGAGGTCAGAAGTTCAAGAAAATTGAAATAGAGGAAGGTGTTAGGAGAAGTATAATATTATAACACATCTCTGCTTTTGTGTGTCCACACGTTATTGTAAAAGAGGGTGGGGGGGTGGGGAGAAACTAAGAGCTAGCCAATTATAGCATAGGATATAGTCACACTTCTCTGCCTCATTGTAAATGTTACAACAATCTGAGCCTTCCACTGCTTGCAGCCATCATCACATCCACCACTGGGGGGCATTTTGCTTTCATTTTACCACCACTGGGGGGCATTTTGCTTTCATTTATCTACTATTAAGTTTTGTCATTTTTAATTTTGCTACTTGGAAATTGATGTCATTAAGTTGTTTTAAAATGGTTACTAAACAGGTTTATTTTGCATGTGCTGTTTCATTTTCTAAGCCTTTTTAAAAACACCTCCCATCATGCAGATATGAAGCTAAAACAACTAAGATATTCTGTGCCCTCAGGGAACATAGCTGATGAGAGTAAAATACATGCACTCATGACTGTTACGCAGGTGGATACGTATCACTGCATGTACACAGTGTAGGGGAAACTACTGCAGAAAGATCATGTGGGCTCAAGTTAGGGCAGCTTCAGTAGGAATTGAGAGATGACCATGCCCACCTAACAATCCACCATGAGAAAAATAAAAGGCATTGAATTCAACAAAGAGGAAGTCAAATTATCTCTGCGAATGACATGATTGTGTATCTAGAAAGCCCTAATGATTCCTCCCAGAGGCTTCTAGACCTGATAAACGACTTCAGTAAAGTCTCATAAAACAAAGTCAACGTACAAAAATCAATAGTACTTCTATACACCAATAACACTGAAGCCAAGAACCAAATCAAGAGCTTAATCCCATTTATAGTAGCCACAAAAAAAATACCTAGGATACACCTAACCAAGGAGGTGAATGATCTCTATAAGGAGAAATACAAAACACTGATGAAAGAAATTGTAGATAATGCAAACCAAAAGGAAGAACATCTCATGTTCATGGATTGGAAGAAGCGATATTGTTAAAATGACCATACTGCTGAAAGCAATCTAGGTTTGACACAATCCTTATCAAAATACCAACATCATTTTTCACAGAACAATCCGGTTTATATGGAACCAAAAAAGGGCCTGAATAGCCAAGCAGTCCTAAGTAAAAAGCATCACACTGACTTCAAATTATGGTACAAGGCCATAATAACTAAAACAGCATGGTACTAGTACAAGAACAGATCAATGGAACAGAATGGAGATTTTGCAAATAACTAAAAATTACTATTAGACCCAGAAATTCCATTACTAGGGAGCTACCCAGAGGAAGTCAGCATTTAAGATAACTGAGACCAGGTGTAGTGCCTTATACCTGTAATCTCCACACTTAGCCTGAGCAACATGGTGACACCTTATCTCTACAAGATAATAAAAAAATTAACTGGGTGGTACATGCCTGTACTCCCACTTCCTTGGGAGGCTCAGGCGAGAGGATCACCTGAGCCCAGGAGGTCAGAACTGCAGTGAGCCGTGATCCTTGCCACTGCATTCCAGCCTACATGACAGAATGAAACCCTGACTCAAAAAAAAGAGAAAAAGGTGTCTACTTCTGTGTTCACTGCAGCACTATTCACAATAGCAAAATAATAGAACCAACTTGCATGCCCACTGATTGGATAAAATGTGGTCTGTACACCACAGAATACTTTGCAGCCATAAAACAGAACAAAATCATGTCCTTTGCAGCAACATGGATGGAGCTGAAGAACATCCTAAGTGAACTAACTCAAAAGCAGAAAGCCAAACACCGCATGTTCTCACTTATTTGCGGGAGCTAAATGGCCACAAAGATGGAAATGAAAGACACTGGGGACACTAAAAGGTGGGAGGCAGGGAGGGGGTTTAGGGTTAAATTTTTTTTTTAATTGGGAGATGATGGTGGGTTCACAAAACATTTTAGAGATGGAACTCACATACCTCACATAGACCAAAAAAGTTGGTCCTCATAACATAATCAGGTTACCCATATTAAGGAAAAAGTGTAAGAAAAGTATGCTTATGCTCCCTGTGATAGGGTTATGACCCAGTAAGCCCATCATAAATTGAAGATATCGTTAAGCAGAAAATGAGCTTAATACATTCAACCTACCAAACGTCACACCTTCACCTTTACCTATCTTAGATTCAGCACACTTGCATTGGCCTACAGTTGAGCATGGTCATCCAACACAGAGCCTGTTTTATAATGAAGTGTTGGATAGCTCATGTGATTTGTAGATAGTGGACTGAAAGTATTAATACAAAAACAGAATAGCTGTGTGGGTACTGGAAGTATGGTTTCTACTGAATGAATGCCTGTTTTCAGATCCACATCATAAAGTTGAAATTGTAAGTTGGGGGCCACCTATATTTCTATTAATAAGGATTAAAAAGTTTGCTGGGCTCGGTGGCTCAGCCTGTAATCCCGCGCCTTTGGGAGGCTGAGGTGAGTGGATTGCCTGAGCCCGCGGGTTCGAGACCCGCCTGGGCAGCGAGACCTCATCTCTACAATAAATCAAAAAATCAGCCGGATATGGTAGCGTTCTGCCAGTAGAACATAAGATAGATTGCTTTTCATAAGCAGAAACAGTGTGCCGTTCATCTTTGTGCAGCTCCAATCCTTTAACCTAGTTGTGCTCAAGAAACCTGGGATGATGGAGGTAGAGATGCTGAGCCTAGAAAGAGAGATGAGTTAGGAGAAGACTTAGATAAGTAGCTACCTTAGAAACAAAAGCATCTCTTGGGCAAAAACCTTCACAAATACAGCCCCCAAAGAGCTAGAGCTCTGTGTAATTGGCTAAAAATCGGTTGGTAATTGGTACCTATTCAGGGACACCATAAGATTAGAGCGCTGTCAGAAGTATATTAAGTGCATTTTCTATTTAGGATACTTTCAATATATGATGGGCTTATCAGGGCATAACGCCATAAGTCAAGGAGCATCTGTATACTTTTTTCCTTAAAATATGGGTACCTCACCGGGTGTGATGGCTGAAGCCTGTAATCCCAGCACTTTGGGAGGCCAAGGCTAGAGTATTGCCTGAGCCCAGGAGTTTGAGACCAGCCTAGACAGCATGACAAGACTTCAACTCTACGATAAATAAAAAAAGTTAGCCTGTCATGGTGGTGCATACCTATAGTGCTACAGTTCCAGCTACTTGGAAGGCTAAAGCAGAAGGATCGCATGAATCCAGCAGGTTGAGGCTGCAGTGGCTGTGAGTGTGCTACTGTACTCCAGCCTGGGCAACAGAGTGAGACTCCTACTCAAAAGAAAAAGAAGACAGTCACTTCCCTCAGGATAACACTCTCCAGTACACAACTTGGAAAACCAGAATCTAAGGCACTTATTAATTGCAGTTTTTATTTTGTTTGCTTTTATTTATTTTTGTAAGCTGTTTTTCCTTCTGTGCCATGTAATTAATATAATCATGATACTCTGTTGGGTATTTTCATAGTAAAGCTGTTTCTGCCTAAGTTGGTCACATCACTATCCTGCAACCTCTTTGCAGAATCTGCACCATCCTGGGATCGTAAACTTGGAGTGTATGTTTGAAACCCCAGAGAGAGTCTTTGTGGTAATGGAAAAGCTGCATGGAGACATGTTGGAAATGATTCTGTCGAGTGAGAAAAGCCGGCTTCCAGAACGAATTACTAAATTCATGGTCACACAGGTATTTTTAACTCTGTTGAAACCAGAGAATAAGAACTAAGATAATTACATAGTAGTGCTTTTACATATTGGGCAATTGTGGGAACTGTTAACCTTGAAGAACCAAATAGCACACTATTTTAGCAAATCTTGATGAACTGTGCTGGAGTTTTCAAATTATTACACCATTCTAGGAGTCACATTGAGATTTAACTGATTTTCTAGACATTGAAAAAAATCATTTTTCTTAACAGATACTTGTTGCTTTGAGGAATCTGCATTTTAAGAACATAGTGCACTGTGATTTAAAGCCAGAAAACGTGCTGCTGGCATCAGCGGAGCCATTTCCTCAGGTGAGAAATTCTCCAGAACCTTTCGGAGAAAGATGTTAAATGATTCTGACCGCATTTACGAAGTACCAACATAATGAAAGGCAGTGTGCTGGGTGCTGCAGGTTCAAACGCATGCCATCTTACGGAAATGGTTTTTAGCCTGTAAATACCAGTGAGGTTCAGTAACTAAATAGCTTGAATTCAGACTTCATTGTATTATGTTCACGAAGACTTAAGACCTTGCCAGACCTCAAGGAGTAACTGTGCATGTAGACTGCCGTTCACCACCTACAGGCTGGGAATCAAGAGGGTGAGAAGCAGCCTGTGTTGGTGGGTGGCGACCAGGATGAGCTCCTCATAGATGAAACCAACCAAGGTATCACTTGAAGGTGGAGTACAGATTTCAGTGGAGGTTAGGCAGCCCACTCCTTTTCCTTTTTAGAGTACTGTATCTCAAACACTGTTACCAAAACCAACGTAAGAAAAGCATTTCCCATCACTGCCGCATTCACATACGTGACATTATCATGTGCGTGAATCCTGGTTATGTGTGGTACACGCTGGTTTTTTTTTTTTTTTTTTTTTGAGTGGAAGTCTCACTCTGTCACCCAGACTGGAGTGCAGTGGCCGCTTCCGGCCACCGCAGCCTCGACCTGCTGGGCTCCGGCGATCCTTCCGCCTCAGCCTTCCAAGTAGCCGGAATTACAGGCATGCGCCACCACGCCCGGCTGATTTTTTGATTTATTGTAGAGATGAGGTCTCACTGCCCAGGCGGGTCTCGAACCCGCGGACTCAGGCAATCCACTCACCTCAGCCTCCCAAAGGCGCGGGATTACAGGCTGAGCCACCGAGCCCAGCTTGGTTTTTTTTTTAATTCAGTTGAGTTTCAGTTTTTTTAAAGTGTTGATCTTGATCCACTAAATAGATTTTATGACTTACTAAATGGAGCATAACTCAAATTTTTAAATGACTGTTCTGAGCCAGGCATCTTAGCTCATGCCTATAATCACAGTGCTTTGGGAGGCTGAGGCCATAGGATCACTTGAGCTGAGGAGTTCATGATGAGTTGGACAACATAGCGAGACCCTGTCTCTCCAAATTTGGTTTTTTTTTTTAACTAACTTTATGAAATCCATGGTGGTGGTGGTTGCGGTGGTACCTGCAACCGTTTTTCATGATTGTCATAGATGACGCCTCCAATCAGCTAGAATATCCGTTGCCAAACTATTACTTATGTACATTTGAAATATGTACAGTTAGACAAATGGCTAGAATAAGGACAAGAGGTAGCTGTTTTGCTTGATAAGTACAACTAAAATTGTCTTTTCAAATAGATGTATTTTTAAAAATCACTCATTTATGATTTCTGTGTGGTTAAAATTGATTCCCTTTCATGGTGAGGCTTAAGGGTCCCCAAGTAGTTGGTGCAGTGTTTTAAATAAACTGCTTCAATGTATTATCGCATTTGATCTTCAAAATAGTATAGGCAGAGGCTGCACACCCCTGTGGTTATGGCTAAGACTCCAACTTTCTGACCTCTGCTTTAGTGAGCCAGTTTTTCAATTAGGAGCAAAGGGGAAGTAATATATCGTTCACTTGCTGCTTTTTTTTCCCTCAAGTGCTTGCCATGGCTCCACTTCTTTAATCAGCTGTCAAACTGCCAAGTCATCTTGACTTTACTGAGATGTTAGTTGAAATCTGGCTCTTAACCAGAAAAAACAAACAAACAAAAAAAAAACGTATTTCCTCAAGGTCAGTACTCCTAACTTCAAAGATGCAAATAAAGCAGCCAAATTCAGTAATGACATAGCAAATGTCATTCATAAAAACATGTGTCAGAGTTCATCTCCCAGCACAGCAAGCAGTATTTGACTGTATCTTCATGTCTTTGTTTTCCAGTCACTATTTATACCACTATTTTCTAGAGGCAAACTCCCTGTCCTCTCAGTGTACCCTAATGTTAGTTCTGAAGACATTTTGTGAGTCAGAGCATTTCCTCCAGAAAGTACGTGGCATCTGCTTGTTCAGCGTGGATGCAGCCATGAATCACCAACATCTGAGCCTCTACAAAAAGATGGGCAGCAAGCTAAAATGTTCTGAGTTCTACCAAGCTCACCACACTTCCAGAACTTTCTTCCCAAGAGGACATGGTAGTAACCATGGCTGCCTTCACATATAACTTCTTTCAGATTCAAACATCTGATTAGTAATAACCTATTCCATAGTCATGGGAAACACTGTTGCCCTTACTCTTGGGAGCAGCCTCCAGCATTGCTCCTACTATCCACACTAAGAGTTACCTTGGGTTGGACGCAGTCACGCACACCTGAAGCTACTTGGGAGGCTGAGGCAGAAGGATCTCCTGAGCCCAGGAGGTCAAAGCTGCAGTGAGCCAGCCTGAGCAGCACAGTGAGACCCCTCAAAAAAAAGGGGGTTATCTTTAACAATCTTGAACACACCCCAGTTTTATTTACTTGCCAATTTATAGTGTCTTTGCAAAAAGAGATTTTAAGGATTAAGTAAAATAAAGGATGTTTTTAAATACTGCTACTTGTTTTTCATTCAGCATTTATTGAGTACTTTTATGTGTCCAGGCACCATGAGACCACTGAAACACATGATTCCTGCTCACAGATTATAGAAAAGTGATGTCCTTACAGGACAGTGGTGAAAGATCAGCACCCTCCATTTCATCCAAAACCTGAACGCTGACAACAGCAGTCTGGCATTTGGCATTCTGAAAGCTAGAATGGGAAAGTTCTTCTGAAATAAGCACAGGAAAAAATTCTTCACACTGTCAGTCAGGATCACAGGGCTATAAATGTATCTGTTTTTTGGGAGAAGAATATTTTACCATTTTCCTATTCCTATCTACAGCTGTCAGATTTTCATAACTGGTAGAGCTGGCAATATGTTGAAATAACACTGCATCATATTTAGGGACAGTAGGGGATCTACGCATAGACTGACATATAGTTATATATGGAAGACACGATAATATAAAATTACCCTCCTTCGGTTGCCAGGTGAAGCTGTGCGACTTTGGGTTTGCACGCATCATCGGTGAGAAGTCCTTCAGGAGGTCTGTGGTGGGCACGCCAGCGTACTTGGCCCCGGAGGTTCTCAGGAGCAAAGGCTACAATCGCTCTCTAGATATGTGGTCAGTGGGGGTCATCGTCTATGTGAGCCTCAGTGGCACGTTTCCTTTTAATGAGGATGAAGATATAAATGACCAAATCCAAAATGCTGCATTTATGTACCCACCAAACCCATGGAGAGAAATTTCTGGTGAAGGTAAAAAAAAAAAAAAAAGTTTTGGCTCTATGTTTATTAGTCTAAAAATATTTGTAATCCCAAATCAGTGTCTCTTCTGACTTTCCTTGCTAATATCTCCCATTTAGCCTCCAGCTCCAGTTAGTTACTCACTTTTGACCACTCTTCCTTGTGCACTGTCTTTTCTTCTCTGTCTTCCTTACAGTTCTCAGGCCCAGCACTAACCCAAGTACCTCATTCTGAAAGTACCAAAATGCCTTTTTTGCGGTCATATTAGATCTCTTTTCCAGTCCTCCCCAGCCACCACGGCCAGATCATCTTCAGGAAACATTATCTTCATCTTACTGTCTCCCAAGCACTTGACCTCTCCAACTACCTTTGCAGCTGTAGATCTCGGATGGGGCCCAAGCTTGCCTTTCAGCATAGCCTCATCTCCCATGATTCCCCCCACAACCTGGCTGTTTCCTCTTCTGCACCGTTTCCTACAATTTGCTTGGGCCTTTTTCCCCCTGCCTACAATCACTATATACACCAGCACACCCTGAACCTGTTTGTTAAAATTGTGAACTTTTGGCAATAAGTTGCTACCTCAATCTAACCATGCCTGTAGAGGCAGTGGCTTTGGCTGCTTTTCCAGACCAAGCCAGGGATTAGAGAGCAACACAGTATCATTGGAGGGAGAATCAGCCTGTAATCAGAGTCTGTTTTATTCATCTTTAAATAGTAATGGCGAACACCTACTTAGTACTCACATGTAAGCACTGTTCTAAGCCCTTTATGTAAACTGACTTAATCTTATCAACTTTATTTCATAAATGAGGAAAAGGAGGCATAGCATAGTTTAGTAACTGGCCCATATCACACAGCTAGTCAGTAGCAGAACCAGTTGAGCCCAGGTAGTCTGGTTCCAGAGTGTGGATTTCAACGTGTACCCTATTCTGCTTTCTAAGTAAAATGAAAATTTGCTGGGTACACTTAATTCAGTAAACATTTATGGATCACTTTACATGTTAAATTTCATGTCCTTGAGAAGCAGAAATCCTTCAACTCTACATTCCTGTGGGTGGAACTCTCTTCTAGGAGTCATAGGTTTGGGGTCCTCTACACACCTCAATTCATGTTTCTCATTTTGTCTTTTCTCTTAGCAATTGATTTGATAAACAACCTACTTCAAGTGAAGATGAGAAAACGTTACAGTGTTGACAAATCTCTTAGTCATCCCTGGCTACAGGTAAAAAAAAATGTATTATCTCTTTGGTGAATCTCATTTGAGCAGTTCACTAGGATTTGTCTTGCTTAATGAAACCACCTAAGACCAACAGATTCTACACATTCCTTAGAAGAATGTAAGTGATTAATCTGTAGGACACCATTTAGATAGGTGTTGAGAGGCAGTTACAAGCCCATGAACTGAAAGCAGTGGCTTAGCCTTTCATAGGGCTTATGTGTTCATCTTTTTGTAAGATTAGCGTGATGTCTTAGTGTATCAAATATATTTTATGTTAAATGTCCACTAAAAGGCTTATTTTTGCATCAGAGATAGCAAAAAAATGCCATTTAAAATATCAGGGTGCCAAAAAAATGTATACACATTTTAAGAACTGTTATGTATGTATTACTTTTCGAAGTTGAATTAAATTATGGTAGCAATGTGTAGTATGGCATTTGCTCAACCATGCTTCCACCATTTTATTTGACTGTACTGCCTGTCACATGGTGATGCTAGCATTCATTTGATAACGCCACCTTTTGAGTGAATGTCATACTTAAGATATGTATAATTTTAGTACCCCCTGTATGTTTGACTTGATACCCCTGCAAACTTTAGAGTAAGGAGAAAACCTGTAAAACTAAGTGTTTTAGTATTATAAAATGTTTTAGTGATTATTAGCCACCTCAGAAGCCTGAAGTAATTTTTTTTAATTTCAGAAACTAGTTACTTTCCTTCATTAAAGACCCTGAATTTGAAAAAGCATTTATCATTGTTGACTTAACAATATTTTGTTTTACGTTTCATAATCACTTCATTTTTTTCCTAGGATTATCAGACTTGGCTTGACCTTAGAGAATTTGAAACTCGCATTGGAGAACGTTACATTACACATGAAAGTGATGATGCTCGCTGGGAGATACATGCATACACACACAACCTTGTTTACCCAAAGCACTTCATCATGGCTCCTAATCCAGACGATATGGAAGAAGACCCTTAATTCCAAATGAGCTCACTCAGTGAGGAAACATTCATTCTGTGGCCTGAAATATATTGTTCTTTGTAGGTTGTCGTCTGCAAGTGCAAAGACGTGAGGAAACAGACATCATCGGCGACACCAACACTGTAGTTCATAATGAGTAGGTACAGGAGGGAAACACTCACCATGAGTCAAGGTGAAGCTTTTTATAACCTTTTGTAACATATGCAATAACTGGTTTTGTATTATTTCCTAATCTTTCACTTTAGTACATTAGTACCACTTAATTTATCTTCCCTTTCCTATTTTTACATTTTTTTAAAAAAGGCAAAAAAAGGTCAAGCTAGGGTCCAGTTACCGCAGTTTGACCAAATCATACATTATAAGGCTGATTACTAGACAGTTTGTATTTAAGATATAACTGTGAGGTGACCAATATGTGATTTTATTCTAAGGACTTTTAGCATTTGTTGAACCGACCATGGAGGCACTGAGGGGTCTTTCCTGGATGCCTAGAAAAGGTGTGGTGGGCTGCTTGCCCTTTCTCTGTTGGGTCAGTCGGGACTCCAAAGCAGTGCTTCCTAACCTGGAGCTGCTGCTCTGAATATGCTCCCCAAAACATCAAAATCAGCTTTCACCTTTTGTGAGTATGTTACCACGGCCTCTAAGATAATCTGGGACAACTGATGTTACAAAACGAGGAGAGGGACTGCGGGTCTAAGTGCCGAGTCGTTCCTGTGCCTTCACATGGCTCAGCTCCGCTGCTAAATACTCACACTCTGACGGACCCCATCCTGATGCCAGCACTGGATTCCAGCATTCAGTGGCTACAGCGCTAACCTCGAATAACAAGTTTATCTTTATCCAGGATTCAGTAATTAGTGGGAGAAAAACATATACTAAAAGGAAGGCCAGTGCATGGTCAGTTAAAACTGCAGTTACTGTATAGCAAACAATTGCTTTTTTTCTTCCCTTAGCTTATTGGAGGGCTCTGCAGGTATCTCAGATGTTTTTTATTGTTGTTGAGTAGCGTTGCACTCAGTCACCCAGGCTGGAGTACAGCAGCACAATCACGGCTCACCACAGCCTGGACCTGCTGGGCTCAGGTGATCCATCCACATCAGCCTTCTGAGTAGCTGGGGCTACAGGCACATGCCACCATACCCGGCTAATTTATATTTTGTAGAGAGACGGTCTCACTATGTTGCCCAGGCTAGTCTTGAACTCCTGGGCTCAAACACTCCTCTTGCCTTGGCCTCCTAAAGTATTGGGATTGTTTGGGGGGATGAGGAGAGATGGGCAAGAAGCAGTTCATAAAGGTGGGACTATATTATCAGTACAGCAAATTAAAGAATAAAAAAAGTACTTCTTTTAATATTTCAGCTCCAGCAGCCAGCTATTTTTAAAATAGTTACTAATGTTTTCCCCAAAGAAAGTTAAGATCTGGTACATCCGCCTGTTAGAAATCTATTGGCTTTTTCTTTCTTCATTCCTCAGTAATTGTGGTAAACCTTTTTTTTCTTCCCCATTCTAAGAAGAGTAAAAGTGCTAAAGATTTGGAGTCAGAAGATCTGGGTGTAAGTCTTGGCTCCATCATTTATTAGCTATGTTGGCCTGGGAAGATGACAGTCCTTAGTTCCTCAATCTGTAAAATGAAAATAGTAATTCTTGCCTCTACCTTCCTCACAGTGTTGTTGTGAAGATCAGATATGTATGAATGTAGTCAGTAAACTAAGTGTTAATTATCATTGTCCGCTGGAGTTGAGATGGCAAAGGAAAAGAGTGTTCGTGTGTGTGAACAGACTAAGAGAAGGCTTTAGAGACCCCTGAAGCTACTCTCCTACCCAGGACTAAAGTATCCTTGAGAGAACAGTAGCAGATGTTATGCTCCTGTGTGCTAAGTTCTTTATATGTTTTACTGACAACAGCCATAGTGGTGAGTGCATTCTGAACCCCTTCTTACAGATAGGGAAGCTGAGGCACAAGGAGATTAACCAGCTGCCAAAGTTCACAGTTAGTGCATGAAGAAGCCAGGCAGTATGGCTCTGAGCCCCTCTCAACCCTCCTAAGCACTGTGCTTCTGTATCTCAGGAGACATTCCCTGTCTCTCAATCATTTGTTCTCAAACAGGAGTTTCAAAAAGTAAACCAAATTTTGAAAAAACATTTTAGTAATGTTATTTTCCCTGGGATAAAGGATGATCTCCCCAGATTTCTCCCAAGTAAGACTATGTCTATCAACATGCACAAAATGGAATAACAGTCACTAGGCTACTTGCTGGCGTTTCACTGCGAAAGGTGAAGATTAACTGGAACCATGCTCATTTGCTATACTTACATAATCTAACATCACAAGCCATGAAATTAATTTGCACTCTTTTTTTGTTTTTGTTGTTGAATGCCTAAGAACTTTTCTAGAGATTTTTAAAGGCACTGTTAGATCATTGGAGTGGAGTAATCACTCCAGATGTATAATCTGCTTAACCTTCTGTCTTGAAGTCTAATTGTTTATGTGTAAGAAATAATTGTTAGAAACATTTAATAATGTACAAAGTAGTCTGTAATGACACTGTTCAGTACATTTTTGTATTTTTTTGTTACATCTAACTTTATGTAAATATACTCAAAGAAGCTTGATAATAAAATGTATTTCTGTATCGCCATACTTTTCCATGTAAAAACCTGAGCCTATCTGTAATAGAGGTATACAAAGAAAATTTTATTTGGTTGTGTTATATTCCCAGGAGTCCTAGTTATAGAACTATTTTGAAAACAGTATTTGTAAATGGAACTAATGCTATATTTAAAAGCACTGATTTTTTTTTAACCTGCCAAAAATAAAAAAAAAAACCAAAAACCTCATTTTTACAATTTTATACTAAATTTGAGGTGATTATCTGGGGGTCTCATTACTTGGAATGGAAGTTTGGAATTATGATAAACTGTTCAGGAGCTACCACCAAATTATTCAACTCTTGTAACTACCAGAAAGAAGATTTAGAAAAATTAAAAACCTAGTATCAAATACATTTTCTAGTTTTAAAGCTATAAAGTACCGCCATACTCTTCCTCCTTCATTTGAAAAACTTTCACAGATTTGGGAGGAAACAACTGTGGACATTCACATCTTTCAAAAATTCTCCCAACCAAGTCTTTGGAAAAGGAAAATAAATAAGGAAACAGTAAGAGTGACCAGGAATGGCCCAAGGCAGGGCAGCATCTGACAGTAAGGCCTCCATCTTCCTTCACATAGGGTGAGTCAGAGTGCTAGCCTGACCTCAGTGAAGCAAAAGCAACAACAAAAAGCAACGGCTCACTACTCTGCTGAATGCAAGACATATGGCTGGTATTCTTTTTCTTGAATCTTTCAATTTAACAATTCCTGAGAATGTCCATGTTTCCAGCATTAATATAAAGATTTTGAGCCCAAAAAATGAGAGCTTAATATGAAACGAAAACTCAACATTTATCTGAGAATAAGAACTAGCTCAATTTAGAAAATTATTCTTCCTAGGCAATCTACATGTACTCATATTTCAAGCACATGTCAGGTTTATTGTTTTTTACTGTGACTTTTAATTTTAAAAAATTAATTTTACTTATAAAATTCACAGAAGCATAAGGTAGAAAATCCAGACACCAAGTCTCTTCTCACCCCTCAAACCCACTTTCCAGCTTAGGAGATTTAATAGTGATTATTGGGCATCCATTACTTTTTGTAGGAAAATACATGTTAGAGAACAGAAAACCAGTCTACACTAGCATACTAGTTTCTATGAAATTACTTGTAAGTACTTAAATGTAACTTTTCTCCTTCAACAGAAATGGGATCGTAACTAAACTTTTGCATCCTACTTTTTTCAACTTACTTTTTAGAAATCTTTCTATGTCAGAACATACTGCTCTAGACCAGGCACAGTGGCTCACACCTGTAATCCCAGCACTTTGGGAGGCTGAGGCAGGAGGACTGCTTGAGGCCAGGAATTCAAGCCCAGCCTGGGCAATATAGCAAGACTCCACACCTCTTTAAAAAAAAAAATTGCTCTAACTCATTTTTAGAAATAATAATCAGTCCCTTGTGAGTAGCCATGTAAGCTGTTTCCAGTTTTTATTAAGCCAATCAGTGCTCAGGTTTACTTTTAAAAATAAATTGGAAATACAGCAACTAACTTTATTAATTCAAGGAAACATAATTTCATAATAACATTACATTGAAAACACACTTTTGTACCAAAAGTCAGTCACAACCTAAAAGCTCTATAATTTTTGGTTGTATCACATATGACATGAGTTATTCTTAATGGCTGTGAAGAGATAAAATACTTTTAACAATGTTACCTGCAATGCATGAAATGTGTTTTTATTTTATTTCTTAAGCAGGCTGAGAGGTAAAAAGTCCAAGGTGAAATATCACCGCCAAGCCAGCTCACTGAACCCTGCTACAGGTGATGTAGAGGGTTTTGACTGACATTCGTTCATATGATGCCTTCCTCCATGAAGTCTTTGATGAGGCAGCAAGGCAAAAAAGTTAAATCTCTCTCCCATCTTCTTAGGATTCATTAACATGTCGTATCCCTGAAGTAACTGCTGCCTTGTTGATGGCTCATCTGATTTACCTAAAAGAACCTGAAAAGAAAAAAATTCTCACCTCAAAATGTGATTTCTAATTATAAAGAGGGTGAATCATGGGGTGCTTATTAAAAATGTAGGCTGGCTCACATCTGTAATCCCAGCACTTTGGGAAGCCAAGGCAAAAGAATTGCTTGAATCCAGGAGTTCAAGAGCAGCCTAGGCAATATGGTGAGAGTTCATGTCTACAAAAAATAAAAACATCAGCAAGGCTGGTGGTGTGCACTTGGCTACTTGGGAAGCTGAAGCAGAAGGATGGCCTGAGCCCAGGAGGTTGAGGCTACTGTGAGCCATGATCATACCACTGTACTCTAGCCTGGGTGATGACAGAGTAAAACCCCGACTCGAGGGAGAAAAAAAGGTTGCTGTGACCCAGACTTATGGATTTGTTTTTTAAACAAACATCCCCTGGTGATCTGGTGACAGTAAGGTTTAAGCGTCCTCAGAAGAACAGTTAGAAAATTTGTACCTGTGAACAAGGTTTTCTTAATAATAGGAACACCTCTTGGAAGTCTTAACTCTACCTCACTTGGAGATGCATGAAACTTTTTTTTTTTTTCTCTGAGTATAGTCTCACTCCATCGCCCAGGCTGGAGAGCAGTGGCACACTCACAGCCAACCCGGTGTTAACCTGCTGGGCTCCAGTGATCCTTTTGCCTCAGCCTTCCAAGTAGCCAGAACTACAGGCTAAGATTTATCTAAAAGAACCTGAAAAGAAATTTTTTTTTTCTTTTTTGGCTAAGAGATGCATGAAACTTACCAGCAGATGTCTGGTGATACTAAATCCTACACTACCTGAAGAGACTAGAACAACAGGAATCTGCCTAAAACTAAGAGAGCATTAAGCCAGGGGAACTTTTGAAACACGACAAAATGAAAATATTTAATGACAGTTAAATACAGTAAAGCTCACCTTCAGTCGGACATCAATACCCATGTTTTGTAAAAATGTGTGTTGATTTATTGGGCCCAGAGAGGCTACTTTCCCCTGTGCCATTCTTCGCAAATAGCTAAAGTCCACATCAGCGGTTAGGTCTGCTGTTCCTGGGGCAGTTAAGACATCATGAAGCTTGTGGCCACAAAACCCCTGGAACACAAGGAAATGAGTTTTTGCCCTTTATGGTTATCATCAAGATTAAAGAAACACCGTATTAGTACATGTTTACATAGCAGGTGTTAAAAAGAAAATATGCCCTAAATCGATGGTTCCCAAACTCTATATGCAGTAGCACCCTTTCTTCATAAGAGATGCTACATGGAAATCCCGATATAAAGTGCAGTGTCAGATGCCTGAAGACAGACCCTTAACATAAAGTCACTGAACGCTTTCACTAATGCCTAAGTGGTGAAATAGAGGAGATCCCATTGATTCTCTCTGAGTTCATCCAGAGAATTACCTAGCCAGAGAACATGTATGCATGTTTTACAAAGTACTATCCGTCGACCAAGGGCCTCAGAATTCCCGGAGAGTACATTACGGGCCTCCGCCCAGACCTAGCCAGTTAGAATCCTGGAGGCAAGGCAAGAGAGCCAGCATTTTTAACACACCTTCAGGTTATTCTTAGACACAACAGAGTTAGAAAGTAAGAACCACATATCCAGAAAATGACTCGTAGCATCTAGTTCAATTAAAGTATATGAAATTCTAAACTGTACCCCACATTTTTAAAATAAATAAAGTATATTAAACAGAATTCAACATATTTAAAGAACACTAAGAAAGGCTATCGGAAGGAGAAAAAAAAGCAATGGAAATGTGATAGGAAATATTTGAATGGGTACAGTAGCTAGGTTAAATCTGTGAGGAGAGCCGGACTCGGTGGCTCAGCCTGTAATCCCGTGCCTTTGGGAGGCTGAGGTGAGTGGATTGTCTGAACCTGCGGGTTCGAGACCCGCCTGGGCGGCGAGACCTCATCTATACAATAAACCAAAAAATCGGTCAGGCGTGGTAGCGCATGCCTGTAATTCCGGCTACTCGGAAGCCTGAGGCGGAAGGATTGCCAAAGCATAGCAGGCGAGGCTGCGGTGGCCGGAAGCGGCCACTGCATTCCGGTCTGGGCGACCGAGTGAGACTCCAACTCAAAAAAAAAAAAAAAAATCTGTGAGGAAATACCAAACTTTTTTTGAATTGAGGAAAAGATGGGAATGACAGAAAAATTTAAGAACGTGAAGAAAGTCTTTCCATTTGTATTAACTTAGAAGCTTACTAGGCAAACCTAAGTTCTCCAACTAAAGAAGACAGCAACAACTCAGATCCTGTTCAAAGGAGAGTTGAACAGGAGATGAGGGGTTGGAATAAGATCTAAAGTCAAGGGAAATTATAATAATATGAATTAATGTAATACAACAATGCTAGGATTCTATTTTTTTTGTAGCCACCAAAATAAAGATCTTCAGTGAAATTCAGGACTCAAAATGAAATCCTGATAAACCATGTTAGAGTCATACATACTCTGAAGGTATCTGTCTTTGTTCCATCATGACCATAATCAGCAATCAGCACAGCGCCTCCCGTTAGCGCGATCCGTTGAGAAAGCTCCTGAATGACAACACCAGCATCAGGACACACTTCCACATGATCCCTCGTTTCATCATGCTGGCAAGGGAATCGTTGAAAGAATCAAAACACACCATTCAAAGGAACTGCTTCCTTAGCTTTTCAGGTTTTGTACAATGAGCATTTCCTACTTTTAAGAAAAATAAAGACCTTCTCAATATGAGTATATTCTTGACACTGAACTTTGCACATGACACCCTTTTAACTATACACACTCCTTGGCTCTTTGATGCTATCCGCCTGGTTTACAAGAACATTTTAATCTCTTTCATAAAAAGGAAAGTGTCTTCCCAATCTCCTGGTGTGTTATCATTTTATTTAATATAAAATTAATTTCTGGTCAGGTGTGGTGGCTCAAGCCTATAATCCCAGCACTTCAGGAGATGGCTTGAGCCCAGGAGCACAGCCTGGGCAACACTGTAAGTCTCCATATCTTGGGGAAAAAAAAAAATTAGCGGCCGGACTTGGTGGCTCAGCCTGTAATCCCAGCACTTTGGGAGGCTGAGGCGAGTGGATGGCCTGAGCCCGCGGATTGGAGAACCGTCTGGGCAACTTGGTGAGACCTCGTCTCTAAAATAAATTAAAAAATAAGAAAAACTAGCCGGGCATGGTAGCATGCGCCTGTAGTTCCAGCTACTTGGAAGGCTGAGGCAGAAGGATCGCCAGAGCCCAGCAGGTCTAGGCTGCGATGGCTGGGAGCAGCCACTGCACTCCAGTCTGGGTGACAGAGTGAGACTCCAATTCAAAAAAAAAATTAGTGTACAGTCCCACTACTTGGGAGGCTGAGGTGGCAGAATGGCCTGAGCCCAGGAGGTCGAGGCTGTGGCAACCATTATCGTGCCACTGTATTCCAGCCTGGGTGACAGAGTGAGACCCCAAACTCCAAAAATAAATCAGTAATAAAATTATTTTCTGTCATATCATACAAAATATATTCCACTAGTTTGAAAACATGAGAAAGGGACTTTTGTCTGCCTAGAATGGTGCCTGGCTTATAACAGGCTCTGAAAAAAATTCTGCCTGAAGAGCAATGTTATAAATCCAACATAACAAAGCAGATCCTATTAAGTATATAACGATGCCCTGTTAGAGCAGAAACCGTACCAGTGGCATGCCCCTACCTCTAGAAACATCAGCTTACAAACTGTGCCAATGTACCTGAGATCCTTACTATCCAAGATATTTCATTATTAGCTAAGGGTCCACAATAAGTGCGGACTAGCTTAAAAAGTGAAATGGCAATAAATACATACCTATCAGCCTGACTAATAAATATGAAAGTTCACTAATTCCTGAGCTTGCAGAACATTTGATTTTTTTTTCCTTTATTATCCAAACACATTAATTTTTGTTCCCTTCTAATACCTTACTAAAAATACAGTAATCACTTGCCCTGATGTCGGCTATGGTGGCACAGGTGTAACAGATGAAAAGTCAGACTTAGGGTAGGCTCTCAGCCTTTTCTATGCTTGCTGCTAGACAAGTACAACCTTTCTGAGTGTGTTTCTTCATTATATACAATGTCTATAATGTATGCATATGTATATACATAAAATGTACATTATATAGTCTTGTAAGGATTATATAACGTTAACCATTTAGCCCCTATAAAAACCATTTAGTCAGCCTCACCAGGCACCATCTGATACACCTTGGCTTACCATGCTGACATTCTTACTACCTCAGACTTCAAGAAGATGCCAGCTTGTATTACCATTCACTGCATTCAAGTGGAAAGAAAAATTCACTCCTTCCTTCTTAAGTGAATACTAATCAAGAACTAAAAAGAATCACAAATCCCAGGGCCAGGAGGTTAGCTCTTGGTAGTTTTACGAATGTTTGTCATTGAGGTAAAATTATGTAGCTGAAAAAATGGAAGTATTCACAAGTGTTCAGTCTGATACTTCAACTTATATTTCACAAAGGAAACTTAACTCATAGGTTTATGTTTAAAAGCTCTTATGCTTTTAAAGCTGAAAGTTTCTGGGTGGGAAGTTCTTAGTTAAGGTCCACAAAGTAGAAGTCGTCTTTCAGAGGTAGAAAAAACGGAAATAAGAAAAAGGCAACCTGAAGCTTAGACAGTCCTAAGAAGTGCTGGGATTTTTTGAATCTTTAAATAATCCCAAGACAGACTCTTGGGATTATTCCTTGGAGTCAACAGAAAGCAGCAGTAAATATATTTTGGCAGTCTCGAATCAAATTTCAATCTGGGTGGAATTATGGGGGAAAAGTCACACTCTAGCCCAAAGAGTGTTAAGAAATGAACTTACCTAATACTCAGACAGTTTTTTTGATAATTAAATGAAAAGATACAAAGTACTCAATAAATGTTAGCTTCTATTGTTGTTTAATACAGTCTGTACTACACTGGTTTCACAGACGTCAAACTCTTCCTGTAAAGTAGACCATATCATCATCATTTGACAGTCAGGAACCTAGGGTAAACAAAGGTAAGGGACTTGGCAAGTAAGCACTTACCAACTTTATCTCTTACTACATGACAAGAAGGTCACACACTTAAGAAATGACTTTAACACAGGCTTTTGACTCAAGTCTCTGTTCTTTCACTGTCAGTAAAAAGTACCTCAGATGTTGCTAGCAACGCCCCCGTAAAACCACTTTAAAACAGTAAATCAGAAAATAAGCCTTTGAAGATTCTATTAGCACTAAAAGGAACTTAGACAAAGAAAAAAAAATGTATTCCTACTTGTATGAAGGCTTCTGCTGGGGTGGCACAAGGCGCCAAAACAAACCTCAGTTTGTCAGAAACTTGCGGCTCAATGTCAATGAGTACTTCTCGCCATCCTTGTGGGGTTTTCTGAACACAAAGTAACACACAAAGACAAGGTTTTGCAAGTCTGTTCTCAAAACTTGCCTGTATCAAAAACATCTTTCTCCTCTTATAAGTAACAGTTACAGAGCATTTTACTACTTCGAACTGTTTAAATGCATTACTTTATTTCCTTTGAGCAATGAGTAGACTAATAAATACAAAGTATCCATGTCATAAGGAAGAAGCAATGACACAGATGAAGCTGTACACATAAGAAAATAAACAGCATGCAAAGTGCCCAAAAGGTGGAAATGGACTCAGAGAATATTCAGGAGCTTTTGCTAACAAATTACTGCACAATGAGATCTGCTCTTAGTCTTAGAATGCCAAATCTTAAATTCCTTCACAAAAAGAATGAAGAAAAATTTTAATATTTGGAATTTTAGAAAATGTGCTAATGTTGGTTGAGTACAGTGGTGCATGCCTATAGTCTCAGCTACTTGGGAGGCTGAGACAGGAGGATGGCTTGACTCCTGGAGTTTGAGACTAGGCTGAGTAACATAGCGATCATCTCTTTATTGTTTGTTTTTGTGAGTTGGAGTCTCACTCTGTTGCCCAGGTTGGAGTGCAGTGACTCGCTGCTCACGGCCACTGCAGCCTCGATCTGCTGAGCTCAGGGTATCCTTCACCTCAGCCTTCCAAGTAGCTGGAACCATGGGTGTGCGCCACCATACCCAGCTAAATTTTTATTTATTTATTGTAGTGTCACAGTCTCGCCAAGTTTCCCAGCCTGGTCCTAAACCCCTGGCCTCAGGCAGTCTTCTTGCCTCTGCCTCCCAAAGTGCTGAGAGCACAGGTGTGAGCCACCACACCCAGCTTAACGACCATCTCTTTAAAAACTAGGAAAAAACTGTTCAAGTAATTCCTCCATTGCACCATAGCCAGTTACCATCATCTTACATTCTCCCACTTCTTTATCCTAGAAGTAAGATTCTTAACTATCCCAGAACTAAGATTTTTCTTTAATACTTCATTTCTGCCTTTCAATTATTGATATACATCAATTCCAAGTAATAGTTTAAAATAACTCCAACAAGTAATATTCATATACCAAATAGATACCATAAATGTTCATTCTTGCAACACAAGGCCTTTTATATTCAATATAGACATGAGTTTTTCCCCAGTCAATACCTGAAACTTATGCACAGGGAGAACATCAAAAAATTCATGTGCAAGATAAAAGCTGTACCCTATTTAAAAAGAAAAAAATTAATGTTTCAGCATTTTATGGCAATTAATTCTTTTGAACATCAGCTGTAAAAAAGAAAATGCCTAACTCTTCCATAATCATCAGCACCACAGAATCACCCACATCTTCATGGAAAGCCTACACTTCAGAACACATAAGGAATAACCATCACTTTTCTCATTTTCCTCATTAAGGGGTAGAGAACCCAGGCACCTGAATTATAAGTTACATCTTTATCACTGTGCCTGAAAAAAATCAGAACTCAGATTTGTTAGCTGGAAGGGGGATTTGAATTCTAGAAAATCATCTGGCAGGCTGAGGCCAGAAATGGCTGTAGATGCCTAGCCCAAGGTCACACCGCCACTTTAGGTTTGAGCTAGACTCCTCCACATTCCTGCCAGCGCAGGGATTTTACTACCACACCTTGCTTTTCTTGAGACAAGCAAGGATTTTGAAAAGGTTAGGTAACTGGGCCCGGCACAGTGGCTCATGCTTATAATACCATCACTTTGGGAGTCTGAGGTGGGGGTCCTGCTTGAGCCCAGGAGTTCGAAATCAGCCTGGGCAACATAAGGAGACCTCATGTCCACAAAAAAATTAGCCGGGTATGGTGGAGCATGCCTATAGCCCCAGCTACTTGGAAGGCTGAGGTGGGAGGATCGCCTGAGCTCAGGAGGTCAAGGCTGTTCTGAGCCGTGATCGTGCCACTGCACTCCAACCTGGGTGACAGAATGATACCCCCCAACTGAAACAGGAAAAAAAAAATGTTGAGCTAACTGAGCTAAACCCACAAACACAGCCTCCTGGAGTCCCTGGGGCCTAGGGCTGCTTCACCATCAGTACTTTTTTTTTTTTACATTATCTTTGGGGAACTACAAAAAAGCACAACGAAGATTGACATTTTTTGTTTTGTTTTCACAAAACTACCTGAAAGACATCGCTCCCTAACATCAGGCAATTTTACTTACTAGTATGATGCTCTTTTCTAGGAAAAAAGTAAGTCATTCTCCATGAATAAGGGATTTGGCAGCCATAATTTATCATCCATCTTATTGCTGTAAAAAGTATGGTCCAGTCACCACTGTGGGGCTGGGATCAAAATTCCTTCACTAATCCATGTAAAGTAATTACCTTTCGGAACGTCCTGCAGATCTCGGTACCAGGAAACTGGAACCCCGGACTTAGTGACACCTTTCATGTACACTGGGGCTCCAGCATCACGCTCTAATGGGACCTTCTCCTCAGTCAGCGTCACTGCTTGAACCTCACTTAATTTTTGGCTCATCTCTACCAGATGTACTGAAATGTCACAGTTTTTCAGCACAGACCCAAGCTGACTGAACACCTTAATACAGAAAGAAGAAAAAAAATACTGGCAAAATACAATGTGTATTTTAGACTTTAGGTTTTCTAATCATTTACATTAATGATTTAGTCTTGTCACAATAAAAGCAGTTTTTGGCTTCAGAGAGATTTGTCCTTCCCAAGCCCTCTCCAGTAGTCTATAACAATCATAACCTATTAGCATTATTAAGAATAATCTACATAGAAATGGACTTTGCACAATTTGGCTTCCTAATGATAAATTATGATTAACAAGTGAAAATAAAAGATTTAGCATCTAGTAAAAACAATGATTCAGAGTATGAAGTCTAAGAAAAGACAAAGGGAATAAAATGCATAGAGCCTTGATTTGATGAAGCCTCCATGTCTATGAAATAATCTCATCTTTGAGACGATGAAACTATATTGTGTCAGAGAATCAAATGTGAATGGCATTAATAACTTGACAGCTTTTCTCTAGGATTCTACCACATTTCCAATTTTTAGCTTCCCAACATTTTTTTACTGTTGTAAACATGTGAGGGAAGAAGGAAAATACTAATGTTTTACCAATCTTTTAAGGATAAAAACTCAATGTCAAAAGGATAAAGTGTGTCAATATTATTTCTCATTTGAATTTAATTTTCACTTGTAATCTGCCTTTTACTTTTGAGATACGAATATGCAGCTACAAACTGAAAATATGAACATAATTTTTCCCAGTTTAGTTTTGACATCAAACTACATATGGAAAAACTTCCCAAGAGGAAAAATCTTTCAGACAGTAAGATAAAAAATAAAAACAAGAAATACTTCTTTGGCTTTTTTCTTTACATTCTTTTAAATTATTTGGCTTTTTGAGTATGACTTAATACAGAAAAGCATCCTTCACACATTTCAAGGGCTGTAGACTTGATTTTTAAAGTACTTGAACAAGAAAATATTATTATTATTATTATTATTATTATTATTATTATTATTATTATTATTTTAGTTGGAGTCCCGCCTTAGCCTTCCAAGTAACCAGAACTACAGGCACACACTACCACGCTTGGCTAATTTTTTGATTCATTGTAGAGATGAGGTCTCTCCAAGTTGCCTGGGCTGGTCTCGAACCCATGGGCTCAGGCAATCCACTCACCTCGGCTTCCCAAAGTGCTGGGATTATAGGCTGAGCCACTAAGCCCAGCCAAAAAATATTATTTGAGAACCTTATTAAATATCTTATCTTCAAACGACTTTGCTAATTTTAAAAAAATATAAAAGAGGCTGGACATGGTGACTCACACTTGTAATCCCAACATTTTGGGAGGCGAGATGACTGCCTGAACCCAGGGGTTTGAGACCAGCCTGGGCAACTTAGCGAGACCTTGTCTCTACAATAAACAAAACAAAACAAAAAATTACCTGGGTGTGGTGGCGCACACCTGTAGATCCAGCTGCTTGGAGAGCTGAGGCAGAAGGATCATCTGAGCCCAGCCTGTTGAGGCTACAGTGGCTGTGAGTGTGTCACTGCACTCCAGTCTGGGTGACCAGACTTCAATTCAAAACAAATATATATAAAAGAGAGCCCTGGAAATTTAAATCAGTGATTTTGTTTTCTTCCTTCGCCCAGAGATGAAGTAATCAGGATTCTTTGTCAGTTGTTTATACATTTGTTAAAAAAATCCTTCACTTTCCAATTTAAAGCAAAAATCATATAGTATCAAGAAATCTAAATTTATATTAAGTATGTATTTTGTTTTTTACATTAAATTGCCAAGTATGTACAAAATAAACTCAAAAAATCTACTGGGTTCCAAAATAGTAAAAACGACAAAAATTTAATAAATATTATTACTTATCAGGTACAATAAACAATTATCCACCTTTTTTATGTTTTTGTAAAATACTAGGTAGACTGATACAATTAGAATGATACAAGGAAGAATATTCACCATCTGATTAAAGAAATGAGACATGACCTTACCCTTAGAGTCCTCCTTCTACCCTCAGAAGTCACCACCATTCTGACTCTTAATCATTTCCTGACCTTTCTTTATAAATGTTATCAAATATGTTTATATCACCAAACAAATATCGTTTAATGTTGGTTATTCTTGGATTTTATATAAATACAATTATGGGATATGACTTCATTTGCAAATTGCTGTTTTTACTCGTCTTGTCTCATGCTGAATATTGCTGCATTCTGCTGTGATTTCCCACATTCTTACACTTGGTGTTCTACTGCAGGACAGTACACCAATTCACTGATCCATTTCCCCATCTATACGCATTTGGGTTGTTTCCAGTTTGGGCTATTTTAAACAATGCTGCTGTCTTCTTGTATGCCCCTCCTGATACACATAGACACTAGTTTCTCTAGGGTATATCACTAGCAGTAAAACTGCTGGGTCACACAGCAAAAGTGACTTTGATGTTGGCGACAATGCCCAGCAGACTTTCATGGTTGTACCAAGCTCCATGCCCACAAGCAGCACACGAAAGCATCCACTGCTCCACACATTCCCATCCTCACAAAGACCTGGTGTTGCCAGAGTTTGACAGTTATTCCAGTCAGGTGAGGGTTATGGTGGCATCTCTCCATGACCTGAATTTTCATTTACTGGACTATCGACGAGACTGAGCATCTTTTAATCGGCCACTTGGATTTCCTGTTTTATGAAGGGAACTGTTCGCATCTTTGCCCAGATTTTTTCTTGAATTATGTCTTCTCACTGATTTAAATGAGTTCTTTATATAGTCTAACTACTAGTTTTTTGTTGGTTATTGTGTTACAAATAACTTCTCCCACTCTGTGGCTTGTCTAATCACTCTCTTTATGATATCTTTGAAGAACAAAGGTTCTAATTTCTTTCCAAAACAAAAAAGTTCTTAATCATAATGTGCTGAAATTGTTCATCTTTCCCTTTATGGTTTCTGCTTTTTACATAATTTTTAAAATTTCCCTATTTCTCCCACAGTATCTTCTAAATGTCTTCTATTTTTAGCTTTCACATTCTTCCCCATCATTTTTTAAGTTTACTACAGACAACAACAAGTAATGATTCATGACATTATTCTGACATTATATTTTTGCTGAGAAATATGAGAATAGGGAGATAGGACTAAAAGCCAAGGAAATCAACAAAGTTTGCAAACCCAGTAAGACACAGCAAGATTCACTTACATGAGTTAAAGACATTATTTTGTTACCTACCCTCAAAATATCTCCCATAAGGGTACCCCTACCTGGGCCCAGTTCCACCAGCTGGAAAGCTACACTTTTTCCAGTGGCTATCCATTCACTGATGAACCATATCCCTAGTAGCTGTGACAAGGAAAGAAATACAATAAAGTATTATAAAGTACACCACATTATAAAACTTAATATAAATATGCACTCACACTAGAAAGCAAAATGTTTACAAACAACTTGTTATGCAATATATACACATATGTACACATACATAGGAATTTCACTGAAATGATGTCATGACATAAGCCACTTAGAAAGATTAATAATAGGGGAAAATAGTTATGAGGCAGACTCATAACTACAAAAAGTTCCATGACACAGATAAGAAGATATCACTGACAGAAAGGTGATATTTGAAAGCAAACTGAGCCGGGCTTGGTGGCTCAGCCTGTAATCCCATGCTTTGGGAGGCTGAGGTGAGTGGATTGCCTGAGCCCGCAGGTTCGAGACCCGCCTGGGCAACTTGGCAAGACCTCATCTCTACAATAAATCAAAAATTAGCCAGGCATGGTAGAGCACGCCTGTAGTTCCAGCTACTTGAAAGGCTGAGGCGGAAGGATAGCCTGAGCCCAGCAGGTCAAGGCTGTGGTGGCCGGGAGTGGCCACTGCACTCCAGTCTGGGCGACAGATGAAAGTGATTATGCCACTTCTTCAAATCCATATGATTTAAATGACGACATGGCTCTTACATACAATGTTTTTCAATACCTGGATTCTACTTCCTCTTGAGCACTATGTCCTATTTCTAAATTCATCAAAGGTACTTATATGAGAATAAATGAACTAGCATTCTTTTGACTAAAGGGAGACTTCTACTGTGGCTAAATCATGGCCGGGGCTGGAGAGCTTGTCTTGCTGCCACTAGTTCTTCAGTGCTCTTTCATCTCTTCTCTCTTCTGTCTTGGGTACTCTCTAACTCTCTCCTCACCTTTCCTTCTGTCTCTCTTCCTTCCTCCATTCTCATGTTTCATCTGATTATTTCTTCCATCCCCTTCACTTCCACCTGCTCTCTTTCCTTCTCTTTGCCCCTGTTCCCTCCATTTCCTTTCCTACGATGAAGTATAAACTGTTCACGTGGCCTCTCCACCCTTTCTCTCCTCCTCTGCCTCTCCATCCTCTCAGCATATCAGCTACTAAAAAATTAACTTTTATGAATCACAAACAAAGCTGTGAAATACTATTACAGAATCACATAACTTGATCTGCTCACAAACATTTACACATAGTTTCATTCATTTGACTATTACCTCTCCAAAGATCTGACTTATTTCAGGTGAGGTAATGAAATCTCCTTTTTCTCCTAGCATGTCACGGCAAACATAATAACCCTGAATAAAAAGAGAAAATGGAGAAAAAACAAATTAATTTTCAAAGAAAGCCTTTTAAAACACCCTCCAAAAGATTACATAATGTATAAATGAAGCAAGCTAAACAGAGTGTTTACCTAAATTTCACAAAATAATAGTAATTTGCAAAACTGGTAGAAAACAATTACTCCTCGACGGCAACGGGGGCTGCCATCACCTCCAGTTCTATACTGCGTGCC